TTTCTCACTTGATACTTTCCAGAAAGCTACTAGGCTGCTTTGGCGTAAGAATTTATCAGCGTAAGGCACTACTACAATCACCACTAGGGTACGAGATACGCTTATCCATAAGAATCCTATATTTAGGTACCCTATATTATTATTGTGCCATACATCCCTATAACAATATGATACCGCATATTCTCGAGGACCAAAATAATTCCCGGAACACCGTTACAGGCCGTGCTGGCTGAAATCAGGCGCTGAAAACAGCGACATTAACACACGTGGGGAAGTGACAATTGAAAGGCACTGTGCTTTGGGGACTTGGTAAACAGGGATTGGAATTACCCAAGCAGGATCTTGTCTGTAGTAAGCATTGCTCTGTTCGGCTCTGCTGAAGATCATGACTGATGATCGTAATTATGATGACGATGTATGTATGTTGAACTTCTTTCGCACCGTACGTAGCCAATCGTGCTAATGGGATACATTTAATAACAACAAAACTATTAAACTATTTTTTTATTTGAGCAGGTAAGGCCCACCGAGCTATATGGCTCTTTTTCAGAAGCGACCTGGTCAAAAACGATAGCTCAACGAAGTGGCTTATCACGTGGACATTTATAGCAGCCAAATACTCTCAACGTATGTTTCTAAATGGTGGTGGGGGGGGGGGGGGGGGTGGTGAAACCCGGAGGACTCGGAGAAAAATGCACGCAACCCTGGGGAGAACACGCAAACTCCAAATTTACAGCAGGCGTCAGGATCTGGATCGAACCCACGACCTCCTGTATACTAGACAGACGAGGTAGTTAACATCTCCCCACCCAGAGAACGTGCACCTGCCCCGCCTAGGCATTACGCCTATCATGAGCCAAGAATGCCTGTTTGTGTGTAACGCGCGTGACGTCACTCCACATGCCGCGCCCTCCACGTCATTAATATTCATGAGCGGGTGGATTTTTACACTGACGCAGAAGGTCGAGCGGAAATACTTTTTTTCGCAAATTCGCTTTAAGTTTGACATTTCTTTATTGAAAGTGAATCTAATAAATAATTCTACGCAGCAACAAAGTGGATTTGGTGTGTTTATTTATTTCTTCAGCACTTGAGACAAAATGGTAAGTCTAATTCATGTTTCCACATGATGGTAAAATAGACATTTATCAGTGATTTCCCAGATATTTTGATTTAAAGCTTTCATGACTGCAGGGATTCGCATTCTTGGTTTTCGGTAAAGTCACGTAGAAGGGAAACAATATTGTTTTATATTTTTGTTATTTTATTGTTTCCCTTCTACGTGACTTCACCGAAAGAACCAATAATATGATTCCCACATATTGTATCGAATTCCAATCTATTTCAACCCTAGCGACCGAAAGCAGAAAAAATAAAGTATCAGAGCAGTGAATTTGAACAAATTGAAGGTCAGTTATATAGTGCTACAGTGACATGAAGTGAAGTGTTTTATGACATAGGTTTGTGCAAGAATCACTGCCATTAATACAGCGCTAGAGTGAACTGCAGTGAAGTGTTTGACGACTTACTTTTCGTGCAAGATTCACCGCCATCAAATTGACACAAGCTACAATTTGACTCTGCTCAATTTTTTTTCTCTCCTAAATATTACAGCTTCCGTCCCAGGGGCAGGCAAAGCAAGCCGGTGTTTGTAAAATAAATGTGGCACTTTTTAAATAATTCAACAAGATCTGATTACCTTTCCCCCCCCCCCGCCTCGTTTCGGCTCTCAGCGAGAGGCCTCGTGCCTCACCGAAGGCCCCCTCGGCGAGGAGGCCCCGGTCACGGGGATCAATGTCAGAAAGCTGACATCAATGTCAGAAAGCTGACATCAATGTCAGAAAGCTGACATTGATGCGACGCTGCAGCGATCACGCCTGGGGATTTGCCCGGTGCATTCACAGGGCAAATCACCATGATGATGGTGATGATGATTATGATGAGCCCAGCGTCACTGCTGGTGCTGATGATGGTGAACCAATTAATGCTGCTGCTGAGGATGATGATATTGGTGATTCTACTGCAATTCGGTTGGGATTATTATGATTGTTCTACTGCTTGCCGCTATGGTTATTGATTAATAACGATGACATCGTTGATTATGCTGCTGATGCTGCTATTGTTGTTCCTGCTGATGGTGACGTCTTTAATGGTACTCGCTGATGCTGATGGTCTCATTAATGCTGATGATGGTGATTCTACTCTGACTGCAGATGTTTCGAGACGATACTGATGAACTCAATTCTACTGATGTTTCCCTCCCCCCTATTAACTGCTCACAATAATAATTAGCTATTTATCCAGCGTCAGTCACAAATAAAAGTCTGGAGGCTACTTTTCACCAGGCCGCTGCATTGGGATGTTTAACAGAGGTCAAATATTTTGCACGTTTCTTGCGACGGGAGGAAAACTGGTGGACCCAGAGCAAACCCATGCAGGACATAGGTGGTGGGGGGGGGAGAGCAACGCGTACAAACTCCACACAGATAGGCATGAGAATCTTAGCCACTGTGTTAACCACTGTGTTAACCACCACTGTGTTAACTACCACTGTGTTAACCACCACCGTGTTAACCACCACTGTGTTAACCACCGCTGTGAAGTCACACGTGTTAACCACTGTGTTAACCACCACTGTGTTAACCACCACTGTGTTAACCACCACTGTGTTAACCACTGCTGTGAAGTCACACGTGTTAACCACCACTGTGTTAACCACCACTGTGTTAACCACTGTTAACCACCGCTGTGAAGTCACACGTGTTAACCACTGTGTTAACCACCACTGTGTTAACCACCACTGTGTTAACCACTACTGTGTTAACCACTACTGTGTTAACCACTGCTGTGTTAACCGCTGTGTTAACCACCAATGTGTTAACCACTGTGTTAACCGCCACCGTGTTAACCGCCACTGTGTTAGCCACTACTGTGTTAGCCACTGTGTTAACCACTGTGTTAACCACCACTGTGTTAACTACCACTGTGTTAACCACTGTGTTAACCACTACTGTGTTAACCACTACTGTGTTAACCACCAATGTGTTAACCACCAATGTGTTAACCACTGTGTTAACCGCCACTGTGTTAACCGCCACTGTGTTAGCCACTACTGTGTTAGCCACTGTGTTAACCACTGTGTTAACCACCACTGTGCTAACTACCACTGTGTTAACCACCACTGTGTTAACCACCATTGTGTTAACCACTATGTTAACCACTACTGTGTTAACCACGACTGTGTTAACCACCACTGTATTAACCACCACTGTGTTAACCACCACTGTGTTAACCACTGTGTTAACCACCACTGTGTTAACCACTGTGTTAACAACCACTGTGTTAACCACGACTGTGTTAACCACCACTGTGTTAACCACCACTGTGTTAACCACTACTGTGTTAACCACCACTGTGTTAACCACTACTGTGTGTAACCACTACTGTGTTAACCACCACTGTGTTAACCACTGTGTTAACCACCACTGTCTTAACCACTGCTGTGTTAACCACTGTGTTAACCACTGTGTTAACCACCACTGTGCTAACCACCGCTGCGAAGTCACACGTGTTAATCACCACTGTGTTATCCACCACTGTGTTAACCACCACTGTGTTAACTACCACTGTGTTAACCACCACTGTGTTAACCACCACTGTGTTAACCACTGCTGTGGAGTCTGCCGCTAAGACGTGCGCGTCATTGTTGTTGTTGTTTGTGTTCCCAGGTTAATTCTCGCAGTCAACCTCACCGACCGCCAAAAACCCACCACCCATCGCACATCGCTCAGCCTTGTTGTCAACATCAACATCAGCATCGACAACAGCGGTAGCAATAGTAACAGCAGCAGCAGCAATTGCGATCAAATTAAAGCAACATTATCTGCAGCAATAGCGGCAGCAGGAGCATCGGTTGCTACAACAACAACAGCAGGGGCATCGGTTGCTACAACAACAACAACAGCAGGGGCATCGGTTGCTACAACAACAACAGCAGGGGCATCGGTTGCTACAACAACAACAACAGCAGGGGCATCGGTTGCTACAACAACAACAGCAGCAGGGGCATCGGTTGCTGCAGCAGCAGCAAACAGAAAATCAACGCCATTAACAGCTGATGCTACAGCAACAACAGCAGCAAAAGGAGCAACAGCAGAAAAATCTGCAGCAGTGAAAACAACATCAGCAACAACAATTCACAACAACAGAAGCAGTAGCATCAGCAACAGCAGTGGTAGCAACAGCAGCAGCAGTAGTTGCAACAACAGCAGTAGAATTAGCAGCAGTAGCAACAACAGTAGCATTAGCAGCAGTAGCAACAACAGCAGTAGCATTAGCAGCAGTAGCAACAACAGCAGTAGCATTAGCAGCAGTAGCAACAACAACAGTAGCATTAGCAGCAGTAGCAACAACAACAGTAGCATTAGCAGCAGTAGCAACAACAACAACAGTAGCATTAGCAGCAGTAGCAACAACAACAGTAGCATTAGCAGCAGTAGCAACAACAGCAGTAGCATTAGCAGCAGTAGCAACAACAGCAGTAGCATTAGCAGCAGTAGCAACAGCAGCAGTAGCATTAGCAGCAGTAGCAACAGCAGCATTAGCAGCAGTAGCAACAGCAGCAGTAGCATTAGCAGCAGTAGCAACAGCAGCAGTAGCATTAGCAGCAGTAGCAACAGCAGCAGTAGCATTAGCAGCAGTAGAAACAGCAGCAGTAGCATTAGCAGCAGTAACAACAGCAGCAGTAGCATTAGCAGCAGTAGCAACAGCAGCAGTAGCATTAGCAGCAGTAGCAACAGCAGCATTAGCAGCAGTAGCAACAGCAGCATTAGCAGCAGTAGCAACAGCAGCAGTAGCATTATCAGCAGTAGCAACAGCAGCAGTAGCATTATCAGCAGTAGCAACATCAGCAGTAGCATTAGCAGCAGTAGCAACAGCAGCAGTAGCATTAGCAGCAGTAGCAACAGCAGCAGTAGCAGCAGTAGCAACAACAGCAGTAGCATTAGCAGCGGTAGCAATAACAGCAGTAGCAACAGCAGCAGTAGCATTAGCAGCAGTAGCAACAACAGCAGTAGCATTAGTAGTAGTAGCAACAGCAGCAGTAGAAACTGCAGCAGGAGCATTGCTGTTGGCAAATAACGACTGTATGAGCACATGGATGAGTGGGGAGGAGGAGGAGGTGGTCACAGTGAGGCTATGGAAGTGAGACCCATATGAATAGCAAGGTGTATAACGTTAATTCTCATGCCCTTTATTTACGCAGGAAAGCCTCGCCGAATCTCAAGGTTCATTTTCAGGAGGGTCCCCCATTCAGTCACATTAAACGAGTGTTTCAGAATCAGAATATTTATTTGTACTGCCGGAGGAATCCGATGAGCTACAAAGCTCCTTTTCACAGACGTCCGGTAGTTTGGCACGCTGGAGGAAATAAGCGAAAACCCACGACGCACACAAGGCGGGGTAGACACTACGGCGTCGCACAGATTGATTCAGGTATCCATTGCTGCACCGCCATTTCCTGGCCACCTCGTGGGCTTAGCCTGAACCGGATCGTATTCCCAAGCACGTGGCCTGCCATCAAAGCACCAACCAAGGCTCAATCCCACTTAGTTTGGGAGACCCCGTCGAAAATCCAGGACATTTGAGAACCGGGCGCGCGACTTCATTCTGTGTTTGTTGTGTCATTCTCCACCACCACCAAAGCGATGAGAAATCTCAGCGGCTCCACCACCACGGCCTCCTCGTCAACCACAACGCTGACATCCAGCGAAGACCAAGGCCACCCGCGGGCCTTCAGGGCGACCGTGGCCGGCGTCTTGCTGCTCGAGATCGCCCTGGGCCTCGGCAGCAACCTGACGGTGCTGGCCTTTTACGCGCAGCGCCGCTCGCACCTCGTCAACTCTGTGAGCATCTTCGTGACAGTCAACCTGCACGTGATCGACGCTCTGCTGTGCGCCGTGTGCGCGCCTCTCAGCGTCGCCTCCTTGCTCTGGGAGGTGGACAGGGATGATTGCGGCGGAGATGGCGATGGCTGGGGGTGGACAATCGACGGAGAGCCGCCGCGGTCCAGCACGGTCGCCAGAGGATCCCAGCTGGCGGTGGCCCACGAGGCGTGCGTGGCCTTCGCGGGCGTGTCCACGGCGGCCAACATGCTGGCCATCAGCCTGGACCGCTACGACATCGCGGTGAGGCCCGCCAAGCGCTTCATGACGCGGGCGCGCTCCGCGGGCGCCCTCGCCATCGTGTGGCTCCTCTCCGCGGTCGCGTTCCTCACCCCGTTTCTCGAGTCGAACTTATCCCCGGCGGCCGACTTCGCCGCGGGCGGCCACGTCGCGTCCGCCTCGAACGCGACGACTTCCAACCGACAGCAGCAGCAGTCCCACCACGACCGCAATGAGCGGGAACAACAGCTTCATCAGCGGCAAGAGGATCAGAATGCCCCCCTACATCATCAGCAACATCAGCATCATTTGCCGATGATGATGGCGGGTTGCCACTGGCTGCGCTACCACCTCGCCCTGCAGATCCCCATCTGCGGAGGCACCGCGGTGGCGATGCTTGTCTTCTACTCGAGACTCGTGCGCGCGCTGCGCATCAGGGTGGTGCCGAGCCGAATGGCGCGGCCAGATTCGCGAGGGCGCAACAGCAGCGGCAACAACAACAACAACCACCACCACCGCCGCCGCTGCCACCACCACCACCGTCGCAGCCGCCACAACAGCATTGGGATAAGCGGCTTGGCGCTCGCACGCAACGGAACTCCCAGAGGCGCCAACGTCGCCACCAATGAGCACCCACCGTCGCGCGTTGCGTGTGCCGCGCGGCGCGAAGGAGCCCGCGGTGGCAGCGGCGGCGGCGGTGCTGGTGGAGGAGGAGCGGGAGGCGTCGGCGCCTCCGTGTCCGTCATCCTCACCCTCCACCGCGCCATCAAGCGCTACCGCCAGCGGCGCAAAAACCAGCGGCGCCTCTTCCGGATGTCCCTCGTCATCGTCTCCACGTTCGCGCTCTGCTGGCTGCCCCTGACGCTGCTCAACGCCGCGGCGCTCTGGATGGGGCCCGACCCGCGGGGGGGGTCGTCGCGCGTCGCCCTCGCCCGGCCCAGGGCCGCGTGCCTCGCGGCCGCCTACGCGGGCCCCGTGCTGCACCCGCTGCTCTACGCCTTCTCCAGGCAGAAAGTTCGCCGGGCGCTGGCGGCCCGAGGGGTCGGGGTCGGCCTCGTGGTCGGTCTGGGGCTCGGGGCGGTGAGGCGGCGCGTCGAGGCGTTGCGCGCCGAGGACGCGTCCGTCGGGCGCCCGCTGGTCGAGACTCAACTCGTGGTGGCCCCGCAACCGAGGGCCCAACTCCAACCCGGTCTCTCGGCCGACCCCTAGCTCGGAGGGCTCGGGGGGTTGGTTGGGGGGCCTCACGGCAACCGGAATCGCTCACGGGGTTCACGCAGCATGGCGAGGCTATCGCACCTGCTCCTCAGAGGTGTTTATTATCTACAAAACCGTGATAATGTAGGTTTTCTTTTTTTGGTCCACGTAACTCCTCCTCCCTCGACTGCTGCACCGGTGTCAATGACCGAGAGAGAGTTGTCATTTTGCAAGTGTGCTGCGATTCTACGAGATGTCCCGGGAGAAATGGGACCCTTTGTCGTGGCAATTCGACCCGTCGGTCCTGGTGCTAGTTTAATCCGCTCTAACATTCACAATAGCACAGCAGGCAACGTGAGCCCCCGTTTCAAAAGGAATCCAAATGGATAGGGAGTTGATGTTGGGCAGGATGTGGTGGTGGTGGTGGTGGTGATGGGGGGCAAGGGGCAGCTCCGTGGAGGAGGAGGAGGAGAGTTAGTGGAGGAGAGATAGAGACGATCACGTTTCTCACGTCGAGTACGAATTGTTGATATTTACCCACGAAATGTGTTTTTACCTATGGCAACTGTTATCGTTGTTGATTACAAATAAAGGGAAGCAACGAAAAGAAACGGCGGTAAATTCTATATTTTGGTTTGTTTGAAACACTCGGTTTTGGCAACAACAACTACCCCCAACGAATGCATTGCAGTAATACGTCTGCGCGTCGGGGTTGCTTTCCTCTTAGTTTTAATGTCCAGGAGGTTTTTCCTGGGATTGTTATGAAGCGCTGTGGGGCCCTTGTGTGAATGGCGCTGTATAATATACAAACTGAGTTCCACTTACTGAGTACCTCCCTCAACCTGAACGTCCTTCCCACTCGTCATTACATAAACCAGTGGCGTCACTATCGAGTCGGACAAGGCTCTCCCCCCCCCATACATTTCACTCGTTGTACCCGGGAGGGCCCATGCCCACCACGCTACGCCACGCCACTGGTTGTCATTCACAATTTTATTTTAGCCAACAAAAAATAATTTTCTTGGGATGGCCCAGTGGCACGCGAAAATCTGGAGGATACGTCTCATTAAACGAGGTCACCGCACCGACCTAACAAAAAAAGTTGAGCTTAATTTTGAGTCGTTACCAACCTAAAGTTTCGTATCTTGGTAAAATTAAAATAGTTTTTTTTTGGGAGTGGTCAGCGTCCACAGGACTAATAATTCTTAACGTCGGGGCCCACGGCGTGGATAGTGATTTATCTTTTGATATAGGACCCCTCCTTTCCACCGAGGTGTCTGAGAGTGCTGAACATCACTTCTAATCTCAAGCAGTTGAAAGGAAAACCTACGGTGACGTCTGTCCCTCTGGGCAACAGGTGACTCAACACGTGACCTGCAAACGGGCATTAGTCTGCCAGACGGGGCGGATGACTGCTGTGTGTAATAGTAATTAGGACGCAGTAAGAGCTGATGGTTTATAATCCAATACAATAACAAAATTTAAATTGGCAATCGATGTTTCGCCCCTCGAAAACAAAATCCTTAAAATAAAAAAGGGAATCGGGGAAACTGCAATCGTCCAAAAATCTGTTAATTGGGGCGCATCGCTTCTTGAAGGCGCTAATTTGTCGTTGAGAGTGGGATAATTGGCTCGTGGTGAGACTCAAAGACCTTCTAGTCCGAGCATTTCCCGTCTTACTTCTCTGCCAATTGGTACCGCGTGCGACGAAGCTCGGAGGACAATCTGCGACGGAGCTCACGGGACAATGTTGTACTGTACTCCTGTGGCGGTGAGAAAGCGTGGAATTAAATAAGGCCCTCCCCCTCCGGGTTTTTTATTTTCTCCGCGCAACGCGTGGGCTGTCTACCGCTGCTTAAGCGCCACACGCGCAGTGGACAGACACGCCGCTGGCTTGCCACGATGGCCGGCTGTAGTAGTTCGTCGTGCACGGTAGGAAACCTGGGGGTTGGTGGATCACGCACCGTGATATTACTCCCACCGCCGAACGGCCATGCCACTCTGTGGACGCGTCTCCTCCTCCCCCCCACCCCCCACCGTCTTGATGCGCCAACTTCCTGCGGCAAATCGCGCTCACTTCGGTTAGCGGCCGACGTTCGAAGTGAGAACCGCGACCCACCCCCCCCCCCCCCCCCCCCCCCATCAAAGGAATGGCACCACCCCTTTAATTGGGCTTAAGCCACACGATTACTTGGCATCCGATGGTTCGACTTCGCCAGAAATGTCACCGTTGCATCTGCGATCGGTGGCCTCCTGGCGATCATAGAGCTCAGTGCGAGAGGGGAGACGCCTGTCACTCACTTTGCGGACGCGTCGCCCACTGTCTCGATGCGCCAACTCCAGCAGCACACAGAGCACTTCGGTCAACGTTCCAAGTGAGAACCGCGACCCCCTCCCCCACCACCTCAAAGGAATGGCGTCGCCTTCATGGTCACCACCGCCCCCCCCCACCCCGACGTGATCCGTGGAACAAACAAATCACTCGAAACGCCGGTGTACGGCAGCCATGGGCAGCAGTTGATGCGAGCGAATGCTGTCCCAAGAGGTGACTCGTTTGGGGCCGCGGTCCTTCGCTAGCATGCGTGATGAATGAATGAATGGGGCAAAGTAAGTTGCCGTTCGATAAGCGCTCTCCAGTATCACGTGGGGAACTCGGACACAACAACACCACATCTCTAACTTAACACTTTTTTTTGTCGAATGGACTAATTTTTTTTTTATTGTGATAACCTTCTTTTTGATGTTTGTGCTTTTTTAGTTTTGGCACCATTTCTTAATGTGCTTATTCATTTAATTTTGCTTGGCAGTACGGGATTCCATTTGCTTGGCAAGTGGCCTCATGGAGAAACCGACTCAATGTGAAAAAAAGGAATGCGGGAATTTCCACCGCTGGCTTACGATCGCCAGTCGAACTGAGCACTTGCGCATTGGTTAGTTGAGCCTGTGGGTAGTGGCTTTAATTGGGGCCAAAGTTCTTTCTTGTTTTCCACGTGGAGGGAAAATGGGAATTCAATGCTTGATGCATAAAACACACAATGCAGCACATATCCAATTAACTACATCACCTGCGGGTGCTGCGAGAGAATGAGAAATGAATTAATGAATAGATAATCGCACGTGAAATGCCCTCCCTCCCCATCCGAATTGAAGTCAGAGGCTGCCATCGTCACACGCCGACCCGACCAAAGCACGCACACTCACCAAGCATGCGCGTCGCTCGTAAATGTTTGCATTTTAAAGACAACGTTGAGGCTGTGCCAGAGAGAAGTCATTCATTCGACGAGGGATTCATTTATTTGACATTAATTTTGTACGTCTATCGGCTGTCAGCAGTGCTTATTTAGCAGAATTGGTTGTTCCATCATCGCCGCTTTATTCCCCGTAATTTACGAGCGATGTTTGCGCACGGGAATATACGGGCACACCGGGGTGGTGTTGAGATGAAAATTAAAACGAGCAAAATAAAAAGCCGCTCGGGCTTAATGGATCTGCAACGACGGAGCTCAAAGAGCGAGCGAGATGCTTTTGTCGCGTGCCGGAGGGAAAACGACCCCGCGATGGGCAATGAGGACAGATGTCCCGGCCAGAGTGGCCATCACCTGACCCGCTGGGACACCAAAGACAAAGATCCTCCCGTATATAGCCTGAGCACGCTGTTGGGGGCAAGCGAGGGGGTGAGTGGCCAGCGCCACGCCATGGCCGCCTTCGTCTCCCCGAAGTGGCGATGTTTACTACACCACCGCAGCACCAGGTACTCATTTGAGGCCGAGTCGACCTAGGGGAGGCCCAGAAACCGGTTCAGATAATCGTCACAAGTATTGGCCGCGGGCGGAGAATCGCATCCCGGGTCACCGGGTCACCGAGTTCGTAGCGCAGCGCGGTAACCGCAACGCCAACAACAACAACCGCCATTCGCCACTAAGTGGCAGTGACGTCGCCAGTGCCAGGCTAGGTGCACGTTGAGGCCACGTGAAGTGTCGAACGCCCGCCGGCAGGAGGTCATGGGGCAGACCCAGCAGGTGCCACGGGTCGACCGACTGAGATGAGTGGCCGATGCATCACCGGTGCCCCCCTACTGTGCCAACCGCAACGCCAACACACACGCACACACGGACGCACACGCGGACACACATGCACACACGCACTCCCAGTTCACCGGAGATCCTCATCGGCCATGAACAAATCCATCTGCGGGATGAAAGCTGTCGCCAAACATCCGCCTCGTCCCCACCTCTCAGGGCTCCGCGGATGCAGAAATCCACCGACCGCCTCCGTTTCATCGCTAACATCTCCACAGCCGGGCACGTTCCCATCCTTTGGCTGCCAACTCCGTCGTTAATCTCGGCCACCCGTCAATCATTCCTTCCAGCGACGTGTAAGGCTCCAGACCCCCCCCCCCCCCCCACGTTGTATATGCCGGGTATAAAAATTTGATGAAAATAATGAAGATTGAATGAAATTTGGAAATAGGCATAATTATCCGAAATAATGCTAATTGATGTAATTATGCGCATAAATTATGCTAATTCGAGAGATATTCATATTTATTTATGCAAATGTATGCGATTATGCCAATGTACGCAGTTATGAAAATTAGGCTCAACCTCATTGTCGAGGGTAGTATTTTAAATCGGGATCGTACAATTAATTGTATGAAGTTATGCAGGTGTCCTGTAAGTATGCTAGATTAAGCTCGGCTTCAAAATCTAGGTTTGTATTATCAATCGGTATGATGCAATTATTCTCGCTTTAACATTTACTGATTATGTATTAGTGTGTTTATGTCAGGTCTCCAAATTCAAATCTCACCGCAGGATACAGTTCTTATAATTAAGATTACTATGCATGAACTTAGGAAGGCACCACTCAGACACTTCTGGGTTAAGCAATTTTAATTTCTAAACAAAAACATAAGACTCTAATATGCAAACTCTTATGCTTGGAATTGTCAACACAGTACTCCTGGAGATGTTCTCCTCATCCATCCATACATTTAACCCTCAATGATCACGTTGTTAAACTGGGTAACCGAATAGTTGATTCATTCCTTAGAGTAACGCGAGCATATACGGTGATAGGAAAAAGTCCTTAAAAATTCATGCAACGATATTCATACGAAGGGCAATAAAGAAACTTGACCTGAAGTCAAAGGTACACGGCAATGAATTCATTGGGAAGATTATGTAATTGCAAAATGTCTTGGAACGATGTTGTGCGACAGTGTGCCTGCTTCAGCAAATGCTTATCAATTGGCTGAGGCTTCAATTAATTCGCGGGCAAGTTTCTGTGATCAAAATAACGATTTCAACACAATATTCTCCCTGTGAGTGTGTAGAATCGTAACGTAGGTTTCTAAACGTTGAGTTTCATCAATGAATTCATTGGTAATAATTGTGCAATTAAAAAGAAATAAAAAAATAACGACTAAAATACTTCTAAATGACTGTATCCACGTAACTCAATGGTCCGCAATGTTCTTCGTTATCAGCTAGTAGTTGACGCACTTATCATGAGTCTTCTTGTACGTGTTAATGTGTGAGTGTTGTTGATCTTCTTGCGTGAAGCAAACGGTGAGGTTGGGCATCCCTTGTATCAAAAATGTGTTTGTCCCCTGCGGAGCGGTGAGGGTGTGAGGGTGGGCGTGTCTTACAACGGTGGGCGTGTCTTACAACGGTGGGCGTGTCTTACAACGGTGGGCGTGTCTTACAACGGTGGGCGTGTCTTACAACGGTGGGCGTGTCTTACAACGGTGGGCGTGTCTTGCAACGGCCTCGTTGCTTTTTCTTGCTCGGGGAGTCGGCTTAAGCTGCCCGTCCGCTGGCAGATTCAGGCTCCTTCCACTGCTGGAGGAGCTGCGTTGCACGCGCTCACTCCTGCCCCGTGCTCTTTGTCGATGCCCGATTGCGCGTGCAGTTCGTTCGCTGGCGGCAGACACTTTCTTGACTGCCAGAATTCACATTCCTTGGTTCTCTTGGTGAAGTTACATCGATAGAAATATACAATAAGAAACAATATGTGAGTTGAATAAGGGTGAAATAAAATAAGTAATAATAAAGCCACTAATATAGACTGCAGTCTATCATGTCGACTTATTCTTATAGCCAAGCTTTAACTTTTTCTGTACAAAAAAAAATATCAGTTATAATGTCCGTTTGCCCTGTGCTCTATGACCGTGCCTGTGATTCTGGATATTTGTTTGTGAACTGTCAAAAAATGTCAAGCAGGTCATGGTATGTGGTCCTTTGGCAATCCGGAGATTCTGCAGATCGTCGTCGTTAACCTACCTTTGCCCCCGGAGTTTATCATTTAATGGCCTTTTACGACCTCCCGCTGCTTGGTGCTTGTGGGAGGTAGCGGGTTTGAGGGTGTTTATTTATTTATTCATCGATTACTTTTTTTTAATGGCAGAATTATTTTTAATATTAAAATTTTTAGAAAAAGGCACTATATACACAACACCCCCTGTGCTGTTAGCGAGTAGCACTTATGAAGGCCCACACGGCACACTCGGGGGTGGGTGGCACGCTGGTGGTGCTGGCCGTGAGCGGGAATCGAATCCTTGTCGCCAGGTTCGTAGCGCAACGGTCTAACCGCTACACCACCGCTCCCCACAGAACAAAGATCCCCCGTGTAGCCTTAACAGACTGTTGGGGCAAGCGCTGTTAGCGAGCACCTATGAAGGCCGGAACGGTACACGAGGGGGTGGGTGGCCAGCACCACGCCCGACCGCCTTTGTCTCCCCAGTGACGATGCTTACACACCGCACGAGGTACTCATTTGAGGCTGAGTCGACCAAGGGGAGGCCCAAGACCGGTTCAGATAATCGTCACCGGTGTTGGCCGTGAGCGAGAATCGAACCCCGGGTCACCGGGTTTGTACCGCAGCGTAGCGCTAACCACTACACCACCGCTCCCCACAGAACACCCACAGAACACCCACAGAACACCCACACCCCCACACACCCACACCCCCACACACCCACACCCCCACACACCCACACCCCCAAACACCCACACACCCACACACACCCCCACACACCCCCACACCCAGACCATCCTTGCGCACGTGATGTTCCGTGTCAAGGGATTTCCAGGTGAAATATCTTATTGAAGGTAAAATTGTGCATTTCCTTAACTGGTCGATACGGTATCTCTAATTTGTGTTTGTTTCCTGACCCGTGCGTTGCTATCTTTATGACTCGGGCATAATTCCAAAGTCTGAATCGTTCCAACAATGCTCCATTGCACCGGTTTCACACGTTTCCTTTTTCTCCGTTCCTACATTTGTGTTTGTTGCAGCGGCAATGTTGATAATTCACGTCACAGTCGGCGACATGCATTGAAGAAAAAAAATACATACTCAACGAAACTGCCGCTAATAAGTCAATTATTTATCAATAAATTAAGAATAAACTATTGGCAATAGTTAGATATTAATATTTATTACGAGTAAATATGTTTTACATTTATGTTCGTTATTGTTAGCTTTGTGCTGTGATAATTGATAGAGGTGTATATGTTTAGGTAAGGGGCTGTCCATAAATGACGTCACGCAACTATGGGGGGGGGGGGGTTAGACATTTGTGACGATGTGTGACGAAGGGGGGGGGGGGGGGTTTGAGAAATGTGACGTCACATCAAAATGCGCAACTTTAAATAAATATAGACAACACGTTCTACTTAATTAAATAGACTTTTTAATACATGTTTTCTCCTACAACGTCAGAGTGCAGCGCCGCATTAAATACACACTACAGTGAAAATAGTTTAAAGCGATTTGAGGCATGTTTTATTTTGGGGGGGCGAGCTTTGTGACGTCATATTTGAGGGGGGGTCTGACTTTTTGTGATGTCGTGTGACGAAGGGGGGGGGGTCAAAATCCTCCAAAATCGCGTGACGTCATGTACGGCCCCTACGGAGTCGAGTTGGACTGACATCCCTAATAATGATTAATTCAATGGGGAAAAACCATTCCCATTCACGAAATTTCGTTTGACGCGCATTTACAGAAGAGCGCATCCCTTTCGTAACTCGAGGGGCATCTGTGCGTGGTACGGTGTGTAAACATCGTCACGAGGGAGACAAAGGCGGCCAGGTGTAGCCCTGGCCCCCTCGTGTAACGTGCCGACCTCTATAGGCGCTCGCGAACAGAACTTGCCCCCGAAAGTCTGTTCAACGCAACATTGAGGTGTCTTTGTGCACAGTAAAATCACCGAAATCTCTCACTTAAAGGGAGAAAAATTGGTACACGTGGAAAGGTTTATGACAGTGAATGGCTCCGCGTGGAGTGGCATTTGCGAAATCCGAGCACAATCATATTGCAGCACACGGAACAGCACGAACGTTTAGCTTGGACAAAGCACAGCCAGCTAGCTAGCTGTACCACGCTAATGAGACGTAAGAAGGACGGACCAATTCACATCCTGACAAAATCGCTGAAACATATATATTGTGATTTCTCAATTGTGATGGAGACATGGAGGGAGGGGGGGATGGCAGTAAAAAAATGAACAAACCAGATTGCATCTTGACTTAAAGCTTTCGTGACTGTAGATATCTACTTGACTTTACCGAAAGACCCAAAGAATATGAAAACCAGATTGCAGTATAAAGTTGGTGGTTTTGTCTTCTAATCCGGTAGATGTGTGTGCGCGCGTGCGATTAGATTTGTGTAACCATTTTGACACCTTCTGGAGTGTCTCCATAATCCAGTGAATGCTGCAATAAAAAAACATGCCACAAGACTGTTAACGAGGCCTGCGTGTCCAACAGGCAAGTGAGGAGTCCCGAGCCGCCACGGGCAATGGATGCCTTGTCACTATTCAAGAGTTGCAATTAGATGGAATGAATATATATCTTTTTAAAATTCTCGTTTGTGTTATTTTTGTCTAATTCCCCATCATTTGGCCAAAATTTACAAATTGCCTAAATATACATATGTATATATAAAAAAATTGCCGTATATGATTTTAACATAGCCGGGACGAATTGTAAATAACCAACTCTCGCGCGGGCACGATGCGACGCGGGCATCGTGCGAGCACGAACCAATCCCATCGGATGGATTGTCACCCGGCCGGTGTGGTGCACATTCCTGTTTCGGAGTTGGAGCCCACGATAAAAACACAAAAACGACCCTGTTTGTGCCACAGTGCAAGGCGATACATTCGTAGAAAGCATTCGGCGCGTGTGTTAACATCGACGTCTGTATAGCGGTTTGCTGTCGCTAGAATTAGATGTGTTAACCCACCTATCATTATTCTCGGGTTAATATTTTAGTCGCAACTTCTATTTCAAGGCGTGTCATTAAAAGCAAGCTTACAGCGGAACATACAATCGTTTTAAGACACCGCGGGGGTTTAATTTTTTTACCCAAGAAGTATAAAAACCCGAACTCGAGGTGTGCCAACCCTGCCCACTCACGACAGTCAGCGACTTGCAAATGAAAAAAAAAAACCTAAGACCTAAAATAAAATAATGATGCCTCCGAAAAGCGAAAATGAAAAACCGCAGTTATTAATCTGTACAGCCCCTGGGACGCGACGAGCTCTGGGGTCAAACGCGAATGCTTTTAAATGAGCTCTGAGAAAGAAAGAAAAAAACCCGGGTTTCATTATTAATCAGAGGCAGCTCACCCTCAACTCTCAGCCACCTTTGTTCCTTCAAGCCACCCCGAACGGGGTGGGGAGCGGGGTGGTGGGGGGGGTGCCATCCCTCGTCCGCTTAATTACTCGTCGCTCCGGTGTCCGAGATGTCTCGAACACGAAGGAGCCTCTTCGACGCGCGCGAGACACCGTTTCAGTTGCCGTTGCTCTAGCGAGGCACTGCCGTTGCGAGCGCCGCGCTGCTTTGTGGCGTCCCTGTCGTTCACCCGCAGCCGTTGTTATTCGGGATGCGAAGACAAAAAGGTAATTTAACAACAACAGCAGCAGCAGCAGCAGAAAGGAATACCAGTTAACAAGAGTAATGCGGAATGGACGTGGCATGCCACACGAATTCCCGTAACCAAGATCTCCGTTGCGTACGAGGCTCGGAGGCTGAGGTGTACTACGTCGCCTCTGATTTCCCTCGTGTATCGAGAGCTCTCCAAAATCCTAACACAGGTGGGAAATGCTACAACAACGAAAACAAAAACTGACCAAACATAACCAACAAGACACAAGCGAAAGAGTCCTGAGACTCACTGGAAATTTACCTGGACAAAAATTATAATCACTCTAAAACGAGAATTGGCGTACGGGTATTATACGATGATTATGACGACTGGCTGGAAGGGGGCAGAGATCAAAGGTCAAGATGTCGGGACAGAGAATCTCCGAGGTGGCTTCACCTTGCCACTGCTCCCATCCCTTTGCCGGGCCCAGCAACGATTGCTCAGTTGTAACCTGGCACTGATACTATTCAATCAGCTAAAACACCTTGTGAGAATAAATATCTAATATCTATGTTTTCCTAGAGACTATATATATAAAAACTTAAACATATTTAAAGTTTGTCTACGATCAAAGGAACCCGGAATGCTCCCGATATCACGAGCTATCGGAAGCGCAACTGGTTCTGAGCCTGGACAAGTGCTTGGATTGACGATCGCCTTGCACAACAGGTGTTATGGGCTGATCCAAGGCTACATTTCTTTACAACTGTTTTTTTGTAGTTAATTCGTTGTCCTTTCCCCCACCCCTCCCGATTAGCAGGGTTGGCTACGTGCAGTGCGAAAGCAGTTCAACATACGTACGTGCGTTGTGGGCAGCAGAGGGCAGTGCGGGAAAATTGTTGTACAGCACTTTCTACCACTTCCTACGACCCACTGGATCACGTAGTTTATGTAGAGTTTTCTCCGGGTTTGCTCGGAGAATAGAACAGGGGTGCCACGTGACTCGTATCCAACCACAGCCATTGCGAGATTTGTGGAGAAACATTTTCCACATCCACAATATAGGTTTTTTTTTGGGTTAAATATAAATGTGTCGTTAAACCCGCCACCACCCGACGCAGCCAATTGGTAAGGTTTGTCACTTAAAAAACGACATCACATCGATCAATCTATCTGGGAACGAATCAGTAAGTTGTCTCCACAAACCTGGCTGTCGCCTGATAATGCTCGTTGTAATTACTGGCGAAACGTCGTACTCAAATTGTAAATTTTGTGGATTTACACTCCAACAAACCGGTGTGCTGTACTCGTAACGAATTGGCCACGTTCTTTTTACGTGACAAACCTTACTAGTTGGCTGTGTCGGGTGGTGGCGGGTTGAACGACACGTTTATATTTTTACGTGATCTAACCCAAAAAAGACCCTGTATCATGGATAATATCGGTCGTGAAAACCTCTTCGGATTTTCCACATCGGCGGTAAAACTCGAGTGACCATGCTGACCAGCAGTCACGTCGAGAATTAAACCCTTGGCACGTGACCAATCGGCACCTCAGAGTCATTGCGAGAGGAACGCTCGAGGCGGCCGCTGTCCTGGACAGACACAGCCGCCACGGTGGCTAAGAGATGTTAACTACCTCGCCGGGGATACAGGAGGTCATGGATTTTGATCACTACCCCGACACCTGCTGATATTTGGAATGTGCGTGTTCTCCCCGTGGTCGCGCGAGTTTTCTCCGGGTCCTCCGGTTTTTCCCCTCCACATTTAGAATCAACAGCACGCGTCTGGAGCATGTTGGCTGCGCTAGGTTTCCACGTGACGGTAAACCACTACGTTGAGCTATCACAAGCGATGGCCAGGTGTCTTCTGAAAAATAACTAAATAGCTCGGTGGGCGCCTTCCTCAACACGTTGTCAAATTTTTTAAAAAAATCATTGATAGTGTTTTTTTAAAAATGGTTTAATCGCTGCCCACCGCGCACCGCTCGTTGATCCCCGGGGCGGGGCGCCACTAGGTGGTCTTGCGGCTCGCCAAGAGGTGCATCCACCAGTTCACCTGCACGGTCCAGCCCTTGTCGATGCAGTGCTCGATCTCGCTGCGGATGTGCGCCTCGGCGTCGGCCTCGGTCGCCCTAACCACGAGAGCCTCGCGCATGTGCTCGATGTCGCGCGGGGTCACCTCGGGCATCCCCGTCGTCGCCATCATGTTGAAGAGCGTGATGAGCAGGTTCTTGTGGCGACGCAGGGCCAGGTACGCGCGGCAGCACGTGTCCTGTTTGGGGCGGTGTGGGGGGGCGCGGCGGTTGAGGGGGGGGGGGGGCGTCAGAGGTTTAGAGGCAAAAGATCAATCCGTTGCTTCTGTCTCGGTGTCAGTTCCGGCGACTGTTTATGCGGTTGCCTTATGGCTTAAAATCATCGTCGTCATCATTATAATCATCGTCATTGGGCTCTTGGTCAATCGAGTGCTGGATGAAGATGCCCCAAACGATTTAACCGCTCCATCCTCTTCTGTTGACAAACTCAACTCTTATTCGACGTCCGCATATTTACCCAATGGTGCCACCAGCAGTTTCCAAACGATTAATCCGACGCTGACAGTGCCGACAGTGGTAATTCGCTTTTAAAGAGAACACGCTTGAATCCGGGGCGTCTCAGAGAGCGCATTTACACGCGATAAGCGACGTGGAATCGCACAGCTCATCGCAAAACTATTAAAGGGCAACCCCCAGCAGCAGCTGTCCCTGTGTGGCACAAGGTGACCCAGCGCCTGGCCTGCAATCGGTCACGAGTCTGCCAATAGGGCGGGGGGGGGGGGGGGGGGGATGATTGCCGCTGTGCGTAAACTCATTTCGAATTTGGACAGATTTCGACCGTGACGCCTGCACGCAATGGCCCAGCCCGTTCCCAAATGAAGTCGGAGGGCATCTTTGACGTCCACTGTGAAGCACTCGGCGCGTACTGAACGTTAACCGTTCTCGCACAGCACAGTAATAACCAGGGCGGGCCTGCGGGTTTTCTAACCGGTCGCAAGCGACAGTATGTACGTACGTTGAACTTCTTTCGCACCGTACGTAGCCAACCGTGCTAATCGGAGTTGCCGGGGAAGGACAACAAACTAAACACAAAGAGCAGTTCTAGAGGAACGAGTTGCCAATCTTGATGATTTAAAAGTGCATAGCTCCCAGTGGCTTCCTACTATAGGGAAAGGAAGAGCGTTCCAGACGGCCACAGAACCAACGATTACGCCGATTAGGTGCGCTAAGGTCCGACGCGGCTAACTGTGCACAATTTCCCCCAATAAAAAAAACAAAAAGGAGCGCATCTGAAAGCGCCGCACGATGCGGGTGACCGCCTTTGTTCAACGATCAGCCAGAAGCCGCTGCCGCGAGGTCGGCGGTGCCGCCGCCCCCACGCGTCGCGGGTAGCAGCAGCCGCTCACCACGAAGCGCTGGAAGTAGAGGTTTTTGTTTTTGTGTGCGCCCAGGATGCACAGGAAGTCGGGCGTCAGCACGAAGGGCACACGCTCGCGACTGACGCCCCAGAACTTCTTGATGTTGCCCAGGATGTGGCCAAAGTCGATGTGGAAGAGGTTTCCTGTGCGGGGACCCGGCACAGACACACGCGGTGTGTGATTACCCTCCCCCCTGCTCTCTCCTCCACGATCAGTGGCTGAGCGTGGTTACAGCACGAGCCCAGGTGCAGTAGAATGAAGTGGGGTTCCCCCATGTGCCCAATGTCCATCCCCAAATCTTTGTAGCCCGGTGCCTGGGGCCTGTTGCACAAATGAAACCCATAGACTCAAATCGAGACCCATAGATACATAGAGAGACCCACAGATTTTCATGGAGACCCATATACACACACAGATCCATAGACTCGTATAGAAACCCACATACTCACACAGATATATAGGACTCACAGAGACCCACAGACTCACACAGATCCATAGAATCATAGAGGCCCATATACTCACACAGATCCATAGACTCTTAGGAGACCCACACACTTACATAGAGACCCGGTGGCGTGGCGTGCTTGGCATGACCCATGGTGCAGGGAACGCCTCCTCCTCCCCCCCCACCTCTTCTAATTTCGCCTCCCATTATCGTGACCTGGTGCCTGGGGGCCCCATCAGCCCATGGGCCTCGGTGCAGTTGCACCGCCTGCGCAGGGCCAGCCAGAGCCGGCCGAACGATCGTTGCGATTGCTCACACAGCGCCACGGCGGTCGGTGAAGGCTCCTGCCACTGCTCCGCCCTCCAAAACATTTCGCCGACTCAAGTACAAAGATCGATCCTTACGCTCGTGATACCGACAGCCGACAGAGGCGAACCCCATCGCTATAGCTGATCGATCGATGTCATGAATTGCGTAGTTTACTTACATTGGGTAATTTTTTTTTTACTCAATTATAAAAAAAAAAAATACGTTTTCTCAGCTGGAATTTTGTCGTGACTGGGCTAAGACCACGTGTCAGAGGATGGCCCTGGAAGATCACGTCGTAGAGTACTTATATCCCTTCAGTTGGCATTTCTTATCCACGCGATGAGCCTAACTTTTATATGCCCTACAAATAGTGTTCTTCGAAAGTACATTTTATAGTCCCCAGAGCTGGAGTATGCTGAATTAAGCAAAAAACAGATTGTATGGGGTTTTTTGTTTGCACAGTTATCACTGATCGCGCAGAGACCATCAACTCACTACACTTACACAACCGGTTTAACCATGGGGTGGCTGATCGAAGCCAGGATTCGAGCGGTGTCAGCCTCGGCAACTTCCGAGTTTGGCCATTGCCAACCTCACCGCCACTGCCCAAGCGGGCATCCCTCACCGTTCTTGGTGATCATGATGTTTTCGTTGTGCCGGTCCCCGATGCCCAGCACGTACGTGGCCATGCAGTAACCGGCGCACGAGTGCATGAACTTCTCCACCGCCTGCAGGTTCTGCTCTCGCGACAAAACAACGCGCGACACGTCTCAGGGCCAGATGATTCTATTCCCGAGTGCGCTGTTGGCGTCGCATCGCTGACACCCGCGTGTGCCTCCGTGCTTCGCCCAGTGTCTGCTCCCCATCAGCCCCACCCCCCGCCCACCACACGACACCGTGACCCCGCACCTGTCCTGCGAGCGGCATCTGCTCGTCGAGCCACGTCTTGAGGTACCCTTCGTTCCGTGGGATGCCGCCTTTCTCCACCTGGATGCTCGCGACGGTGTGAGCGTTGGGCACCACCTCGATGACACCTGTGGGAGGCACCACCACGCCCATCCGCGGGTGCCGCGTGAGGGTTGCCTTGTGGGTAACGGGCGGACGGCGCGGGGCGTCATTTGTCGGCTCGGCTTATTCCGTTGTACCTACGAGTCGAGGCGCCTCCCGGAAGCGGGACAGCGCGTGCAGAATTCATCATCGATCATTATCATAGCCATCAGCCATGATCAATCCACTGCCTGGTTGAAGGCCTCCCCAATCCATCACCATCCCTCGTGGCCCCTATGACATAACAATCCACCAAGCACCTCAACATGAGCTGAGCTCAGAGCTTCATTTCCTCGGTCGGCGGACTTCTTCTCAGGCGCGTCCCTTCCGGTGCCTGCCGCTCTTTCCCCGGAGGCTCCTAGATTGGGAAGTTAAACCGATTCCTGACCGAGAAAGCGGAACGCCTGCAAGAACCGTGAAAAGTGCCACACTGACAGATCCAAGGATCCACTGCTGCACTGCCATCTCCTAAGCACCCCGCGCCCAAAGCCCAGGCGGCCTTCCATCCAAGTAATTAATTAATTCATCACGCATGTCAGGGAAGGACCGTCGCGCCAAACGTGGGACCTCTTGGAACAGCGTTCGCATAAACTGCTCTTGGCTGCCATACACCGGCGTCTCGAGTGATTTGTTTGAACCACGGTTCACTGGGGGGGGGGGGGGGGGGGGGGGGGGGGGGGGGGAGGGGGGGGTGACCAGGAAGACGTCGCCATTCCTCCGAGGGTTGGGGTTCTTCGAACGTCGACCGCCAATTGAAGGGCACTATATGTGCTGCTAGAGTTTGCGCATCGAGACGGGGCAACGTGTCCACAAAGTGCCACCACAGCCGTCTTCCCCCTCGAACTGAGCCTTACAGTCGTCTGGAGACCTGTCGCAGATGCAACGGTGACATTTCTGATGACGTCGAACCATTAGATGCCAAGTAATCATCCGAGCTAAACCCCAATTAAATTGGAACGTCTAATGAAGATCGAGTGCATTGTGGGTGATTTGTTGATTGATAAATCTGGGCCATATGGCTGCGGGGCACCAATAGGAATCATATGGTCACACCTGTGTTGTAGCCCGTGGCGATGCAGCCGTAAGGAAGGAGGCAGAGGTCCAGGCCCTCGCTGTCCCAAATGGAGTCCATGATGTTTAAGGTCTGTGTACACACACATAGCATCAGCAATATCATCATCAGCAACATCGTCATCAATAGCATCAGCAACATCACCATCATCATCATCCACATCATCATCAACAGCATCAGCAACATCACCAACATCATCAAGAGCATCAGCAACATCACCATCATCACTAACATCATCAACAGCATCAGAAACATCATCACCAACATTATCATCAATAGCATCAACAACATCATCATCAGCAACATCGTCATCAATAGCATCAGCAACATCACCATCATCACTAACATCATCAACAGCATCAGCAACATCACCACCATCATCATCATCACCAACATGACCAGCATCAGCAACATCATCATCAGCAACATCGTCAGCAACAGCATCAGCAACATCACCACCACCAACATCATCAACATCATCATTACCATCAACATCATCAAAAGCTTTGAGTTGCGTGACGCGTGCGGAGGGACAGGCGTCGGCTCCCACCTGCAGGATGAGCATGTCCTGGCGCAGGTCGTCGCCGTTCTTGAAGATCAACTTCACGTTCGAATCGTCCAGCGACGTGGAATCCGCCCGGTGAAATTCCAGCCACAGCGGCTTCTTCTTGCTCGCCAGAACTTTACACTTTTCTATCTGAAAGGCCCAGACGGCGCAACGTCACGCAGAGCGTGCCATGCACGCGCTTCACGAAAATACAAAGATCCCCCGTATAAAATAATAAAATAAAAATAAGACGATCAAATTCTCACGACGTTTCGGCCACAACACAAGCGACAGCACTGTCGTCCCGACAGTTCTGTTCTTTCACCTGAAGAAGGCCGCTTGTGTTGTGGCCGAAACGTCGTGAGAATTTTATTGTCTTATTTTTATTTTATTATTTTATTCTCATTCTGCGTGACTTTACCGAAAGAACCAAAGAAGATGATTCCCTGCAGTCACGAAAGCTTTATATTTTGAAATCCCCCGTATAGTTGGGGCAAGCGTCAATGAAGGCCAGCGCGGCACATGAGGGGGTGGGTGGCCAGCACCACGCCCGACCGCCTTTGTCTCCCCAGTGGCGATGTTTACACACCACACCAGGTACTCGTTTAAGGCCGAGCTTGCAGCAAGCAGTGCACCACGTTGTCTCAGAGAATGGTTTTGGGAAGATGATGTCACGGCACTACTGGATGCTAATCAAACTGAATATAAATGTTTTACTCTATTTTTGAATCACACAGCAGGGGGTCGAAGGGTTCGATCCCGGTGAAAACCGAAATATGTGACGTGATGGTTTATTCCGGCGGAGTAATGCGGTGGCATCTGCCTCTCCCCCCCCGTGCCACCCACTCAACCGCCTCCGAAGTGTGAATCTATTGTCCGTTGGTGGCGCGGCGTGGCGGAGTGGAGCGGGCGAGGCACGTACTACGATGGTGCCGGCGCGCACGCACGGGTCGTACGGCAGCTGGAAGACGCCGGGGATCACGACCCGTTCCAGATTGTCCTGGAGCTCGGAGGCCGCTACGGAGAGTCGACGGGAAGAGACGGCGGTTGGGGGGGATTGGTGGGGGTGGGAGAGCGACACGCGTAAACACGCACAGGCGTGCACAAGCAGACGTTCGCGCGTGCGCACTATCACGGGCGTGCAGAATCCGAATCTTGATTCATTAGCGCGGTTGGCTACGTACGGTGGGAAAGAAGTTCAACATAAATGCATTTAGCCTGGAGGAATCCGATGAGCTACGACTCTTTTTTTTTCCACAGATGTTCAGTTTGGAGCAAGTTGCGTGCCCGTGTACTTGCGTACAAGTACACGGACATGCACGTGTTCGCTCACGAATAGACGCGCAAAGCGCAAAGAGCACGTGCACGACGCATTCTCAAGCACAAATAATCGCACACACGCATGCACATGCATGGGCTAGACCCTTGTAGAATGTACAAAGACAAAGGTCCCCCCGTACAGTCGTTAACAGGCTGTTGGCTCATCGTAAGCGAGTAGCAGCACCTATGAAGGCCGGCACAGCACACGGGGTGGGTGGGTGGCCATCATTCCAGGTACCCATTTGAGGCTGAGCTGACCTGGGTGGTGTTGGCTGTGAGTGGGAATCAATCTCGGGTCTCCGCCAGGTTCGTAGCGCAGCGCAGTGCGGCGCTAACTTCCGCACCACCACTCTCCTAACCCGGCGACCCAAGTTACAATTTCCGCTCAGGGCCAACAGTATACACGAACGCACGCATACAGAAGTGCGTACACACGCACATGTGTAAGCGCACGTGTGTACGTACAAAGGCACAAAACTGAACCTTTTATTTTACCAGTTAAGGCCAATTGAGCCATGCAGCTTATTTTGCAGAAGCGAACTGGATATCACAAATGATAGCTCATCGAAGACGCTTTTGTGGAAATTGATCGCAGCCAAAAACCCTAAACACGTTTATCCTAAATCTGGAGGAAAAAACCGGAGGAACTGGCGAAAAATTCAAGCAACCACGAGAAGAACACGTAAACTCCAAATATACACGGGTCAGGGTCGAGATCGAACCCACGACCTCCTGTAGACCGGGTGAGACAGTTAATATCTCACCACCGTGGCACCCCACACACACGCACAAATGTGCAAGTGCACGCGCGTACGTAACAAAGGCACACACATAGACACAAAGATTCTCCCATATAGCCTTAACAGACTGTAGGGGGCAAGTGCTGTTAGCGAGCAGCACCTATGAAGGCCGAAACGGTACACGAGGGGGGTGGGTGGCCAGCACCACGCCCGACCGCCTTTGTCTCCCCAGTGGCGATGTTTTTACACACCGCACCAGGTACTCATTTGAGGCTGAGTCGACCTAGGGGAGGAGGCCCAGTACCGGTTCATATAATAGTCACCGGGTGTTTGCCGTGAGCGGGAATCGAACCCGGGTCGCCGGGTTCGTAGCGCAGCGTAGCGCTGACCGCTACGCCACCGCTCCACACACACACACACACAGGGGGGTGGGCAGGGCGCTATCGGCGCACCGTTAGGCGGAACGTTGTACAAGTTGCCGAGCTGCAGCTGCATCTTGTCGCCGACGATGCGGAGGCTGTCGATGAGCTTCACCTGCTGCACGAAGTTGTGCAGCGTGGCGCGCCCGCAGCCCCGCAGGTATGCCTCGAGCAGCACGGCGAAGCGCGCTCGCGACTGGGCGCACACGGCGATCTCGCTGCGCAGGAACCAGAAGAAGAAGTGGCCCAGGCGTTTGCTCTAGCGGCGGACGAGAGGGGTAGACAGGGGGTGACAATGAGAACTTCTTTTGCGCCGTACCTAGCCAACCGGGGTAATCGGAGGTGGTGCGTGTTCAGCGGACACGGAGTTGCGTCTAAGGAGGGAGGGGTGGTGGTAAAAAAATGTTTTCCGACATTATCTGCGGGTTGGCGCGGGTTATAAAATAGGAAAACATAAAAAAAATCAACGTGCGGACAACATGACTTTGTGTAGTCCTTGCCGATTTAGATCGTTGCGTTTTGAGACACTGCTCACGTTTGCGAGCGTCGCCCCTCCGACCCTGTAGTTGCTGATTGACCGACTGCCTCTGATTGCCCAGCGGCATCCTTCACGAGCCTCCTCCGATTTTGACAATGCCGATTTCAGTCTTCGACAAGTCCACTCAGCTCCAAATCCTCCCATACCACATTAACTCCATATATTCACTAGCTCGTGCTGCGCCAGTTTAGCCGAAATAAAAGCTGCTTGGGCGTTGTGGTGGCTGGACACGGGGTCTTCAAATGGCCTAGCCAATGTAAGCCTCGCCTGCCGGAGGAGCTCGCTGGTGGGAACGGTGTCTGCCAGACCTTTCTGCAAGGATCTACAAATTAAAAAAGCTGCCGTTCGCCACCGAGTGGCGGTGATGTCAGGCTAGGTCAGGGGTGGGAAAATTTTTTGAGTCGCGGGCCACAATGGGTTCTAAAATTTGACAGAGGGGCCGTGCCAGGAACAGATGGATGGAGTGTTTGTGTGAACTAATATAAGTGACATGTAAAAATCATTACATGAAAGGATTTGGCCTTTAACAGGTAGCAAAGCATTTATTTGCAAGGCAATTTAACAAATTGCACGAACATGAACGATACAAAAACATGTCGTAACTCCCGGTCAAAGTGCGCCATCTAATGGGGAAATGGGGGCATTACAGGAGAAAGGTAAAATTTTATTTAATAATAATATTTGGACAAGTTCGGCGGGCCGGATTAAAAAGCCCAACGGGCCGTATACGGCCCGGGGGCCCTACTTTGCCCACGTCTGGGCTAGGTGCACGATGAGGCCATGTGAAGTGTCTAAGGCTCGCTTAACAGGAGGTCATGGGGCAGACCCAGGTCCCCGCACACACACAAAGATCCCCCGTATAGCCTGAACACACTGTCGGGGCAAGTGCTTTTAACGAGCAGCACCTATGAAGGCCGGCACGGCACACGAGGAGGGAGGTGGCCAGCACCACGCCTGGCCGCCTTTGTCCCCCCAGTGACGATCTTTACACACTGCATCAGGTAATCATTTGAGGCTGAATCGACCTAGGGGAGGCCCGGGACCGGTTCAGATAACCTTCACCGGCGTTGGCCGTGAGTGGCAATTGAACTCGGGTGGCCGGGTTCGTAGCACGGTGCGATAACCGCTGGACTACCGCTCCCGAAGCACGCACACACAGTCACACACACTCACAAACACACACTGTCATGCAAAAAGGCGTGCCGTGCCGCACCTACCCTCAGCGCCCTCTGTATGAGGAAGCGGGCAAGTGGGCTGTCGTGGTACGGCTCAAACTTGAGTGCCTGGGGACAAAGAAGCAAGCGGCATAGGCGTGTAAGGGAGCGCACGCCACAAAAGTAACGACCCAGCAGCAGTGACACCCACCAAAAGACACTGCGTGATAAACAGCTTCACAGCCCGTCGGATTTCTTCAGGGTAAATGAAGATGCTGATTGTCGCTTTCTCCGTGGAAGACGACGTCGCGTGGAACTACTGTTGAGGTCCACAATTCGATCGGTCTCTCGGCCCGCACCTACTAGCTCCTAACTGAGCATTCACAGTGAATGCATCCTCATTGTGGTTGAGCGATATTCCTTAAGGACCCTGTCTGTACCGCAAACTCCACAAGAGAATCGATGTTGTTGGCTTTGTTGTTGTTGCTGCTGTGATCGTGCGGTGACACCACCGAGATCCCTTGAGCGACCGGCTAAACGGTATCATCTGCATAATTAATAAAAATTTACTTAAACAACAACTTAAATGTGTGCAGTGGTACACAGGAGGTACCGAGCAAAGGGAATGAGAGATATTCAGGGATTCTAAAATCACGGTTGAAAAGGAAAGGTTTCAGGAGAGACTTCAAAGCAGAGACACAGAGGGGGACCAGGCATAATTAGCTGGGCAGGGAGTCCCATTGCTATGACATGGCGAGTGAAGTGAAAATCAAAATTAAATATCGTGTTTTTTTTTATTTGACCAGTTTTTTGGTGACCTGCGACCATCAATTAATTGCACCCTGGTCATACGCAGCTGAAATCTTACGAATACAGTCTGGGATGATAATACATAAAAATGCTGCCATATCTAAATTTCGTTCTGCACTTGATATGGCCTACCTCCATCTGCTGAGAATGAAAATATATTGGTTTGCCTACCATGCGATGAACATGACTCTCGTATGCAGAGTGAGTGGGAAGTTGCTGCCGCTCTACTTTTTAGGATCAAAGGTCACTGGAACGGCCGTCAGAGATAGCTCTGTGGTGTCCGCTTCTTATGAAGGGAAAAACACAAACTTATTAGTAACAGTGCAGTCATTGGTGACTCGTCCGAGACCACCAACTCGCTACGCCCGAGAAACACCCGGTTTGAACCGTGGGTGGCTGCTGTATTTCAAACGAGTGCCTCAGTGCTGGTGGATAAAGTGACCTGGCACTTTGTCTACGTCACTGCCGAGCGTCCACTCGAGAGAGCTCTTGAGAACCACTCCTGAGGGTTTAGTTTTTTCTCTCTCTCAACTCGTCCACGCTGGGCAGACGTCTTGGAAGATACCCACACCGCACAGAATCTGCCGATCGAGTGACTAACTGCAGTGTAAACTGCTGGGCGGGATTTCATCAACTTGTCCCGTCGTCTCAAATCCAGCGGTGGAAAGATGTTAACTCCCTCACATGGTGTGCAGGAGGGTTCATGGGTTCGATTCCAACTCTGACGCCTGAATATGTAGAGTTTGCATGTTCTGCTGGGTGGAGAAGTAGCTGTGAGTTTGTTCTCCCCATGGTGGTGTGGCTTTTTCTCTGGGTCGTCCGCTTTTACCCTCCACATTTATAAACGTGCGTTTGAGGGGAATTTGGCTGCTATAAATGTCCACGTGATAAGCCAATTTCGTTGGCCAGGTCGCTTCTGAAAAAGAGCTATAGAGCTCAGTGGGCCTCACCTGGTCAAACAAAAATAAGTGAATAGTTTCGATTCAAACTGCGCCAGGCAAGTCCAGTGTGCTAACCCTTACACCCCTTAAAATTTAAATGGCCAACATTCCAATCCACGCCCTCCCTCTCACCTGCACGAGCTGCAGCAGGAAGAGCAGGATCTCGTCGTTGCCGGAGGCGGCGAGCCGTTCGACCGCCATGCGGCGCACGAACCCGTCCACAAAGTTGCCGTCGAGCAGCTCCATGGCGATGCTCAGGTCGAAGTCCGTCATGCTCCAGTGCTGCAGGAAGCCGTGCGTCTCCCGCACGCACTCCAGGCTGCCCCAGTCGACGGCGCGGAGCAGCCGGGGCAGCGACTGCGCCGTGCGGGACAGCGAGTCCCGCATCTGCCACAGCAGCGCCAGCTCCGGCGCCTCCACGGGGCTCAGCGGGTCGACGTTCACCAGGTGCTTGAGGAACTCGTCCTGGACGCTGCCCTCCGCAAAGAACCGCTTGGCCCTCTCGGGCATGTGGAAGACGCCGGCCTGGGAGCGCGGCAGCGCCACGGGGCAGTCGTACGTGTCGAGGAGGACGCTCACGACGGCCGCGCGCTCCTGCTCGGGATTGGCGCCCGACGGCAGGGCGCTGGGGTCGGGCGCCCTCTGCCCCTGCTGGAGGGGCCACATGTACAGCACGAACTCGCCCTGGCGAAGCAGTGAGCGGTGGTCGATCAGCGTCATGTTCACGTAGTGGAGCAGACGGGCCTCCAAGCTGCGGCTGCCCGAAGGCAGTAGGCCCGACCTGAGGTTGGCAGAAAATTGCATCTCGTCAGTTTTTTTTGTGGTCGCTTGTTTCTTTGAGCCGGCGGACGGAAATCGTCAAGTGGTGACTTTTGAATACGGCTCACCAACGGCGATCACAGCATGACTGACTGAATGCTGAATGCAAACGCAGATTTTGACAACAGTGCACTGAGGAACAGCAAACATTGTTACTGGCTCTATATACGTGCGTATTCATGTAGAGCTGCTTTCGCACCGTACGTAGCCAACCATGCTAATATGTCCAGGATATAAGAAGATTTACCGAGTTAACTGGTTGGCTGACCTGATAATACTGTGAGGCGGGGGGGGGGGGATGCACACCCTCACACCGACATTTGACACCTAAGAGCGGACTACACGTTGGGCTGCTCTAGTTGCCGGGAGATCTCAACGGAACGGGCGAAACAAATGCCGCAGACAGAGGCGGCACACCAAAACTCCGCGGCCTGCCTGCCGTCGACGAGACCGGTCCGACGCGACGAAGAGAAGGGCACACTCATCCCTGCCCACCTGCGGACGCTGTAGAGCGACAGGTTGAGGCACGCCCCCAGCGGCAGGTCCTTCATGCGGATGCCGAACTCGAGCCAGTCGCCCCAGACGATCTCCTCCTGCAGGGGCCGCTTGGACGTCATCACGGACGCCAGCCGCACCTTGCCGTGGTAGACGCCGGCCTGCACGTACACCTCGGCGTCCCCCCCCCCGCCGCCGCCGCCACCCCCCTGCGGGCACAGAGCGACGCCCGGCGGGAACTCGATGCCCCGCACGTTTACCCGGAGGAATCGGTTGCAGTCCCAGAGCGAGAGCGTGCACAGCTGCCCCGCGTCGCTCCTCCACAGGCTCAGCTCCTCCGCGGTGCCCGTCGCCCCATCGCAGTTGTCCAGCAGCGGCCAGTCGTCCTCCGTCTCCTCGGCCGCCACGTCCTGCAGCTGCGCCACCGCCAGGTGGATCTTCTCGTTCTTCTTGACGCAGCGGCGGACCCAGACGAAGTCGACGATGGGGTACGGGCCCTGGATGTACTCGTCGCGGCCGCACACCTTGAACACGAAGCACTCGGCGTGCTCGGGCTCGCTGTGCCGCAGCAGCTCGTTGTGGCCATAGACGCCGCTGAAGAACCCCAGGGCGATCTCGCGGGGCGAGTCCTTGGGCGACACTTGGATGCTCTGCTGGCGGGAGGCCAAGTGCAGCGTGATGTCGAGGAGGCCGCCGTTCTTGGCGATGCGCTCCTCCAGGTAGGCGGCCGGCGGCTGCGAGGCGACCCACGGCTCGAGCGCGTACGCGAAGGGGTCGCGCCGCTCCAGCTCAGCGGCGCGCACCGCCGCCAGCCTCCGGCGCGTGAACTCGAGCTCGTCGTCGCCGGCGAGGCACAGCGCCTCCACCTTGGCGCCGATCAGGTAGTCCAGCTCCTCCTGGAACCTCTGGCCACGCGGCGTGGGCTTGGGCCGCTCGCGGACGAGGATCCGGCCGGGCGAGAAGCCGCGCGTGCCCCAGCGGCGCACGCAATCGAGCGTCTGGAAGATCTGCTGCCGGTCGTAGATCTCGTACGTGCGCCCCTCCGCCTCGTAGTACAGGGCGTACGAGTCCGGCGGGGCGGTGATGATCACGTAGCACTCGCTGTCCATGGTGCACGTCATGACGTCGGACCAGAACGAGTTCCAGACCTGGTCGACGCTCAGCGTGCCCTGCACATCCCTGGTGATGCTCTGCTGCCCGCTCACCTTGAAAGGCAGCACGAACTCCACTGTGATTGTCTGTACGGTGGAGAAACGATCGTCGAATCTGTCGTTCATCTTGCCGGAGTCCAAGCGGTGACGAGACGATGGCTTCGTGGCAACAACTGCAAGCACACTACGTACAAAATAGCGATGTTCTGTTTAACGCGGCCAAGTAGCGCCCTTCGTGAGCCTCCTCCAGCGAGGCCAATCTTGATAACACTGGTACCAGTCATCAGCAAGTCCACCCATCGTCAGCTATTGCTATTGCATCATATCAGTCTATCTCTTCTCTAGCCCAACTATGTGAACTAAACAGAAGAAGCTTGAAGCATGCGGTGCCCGAGTACGCAGGCTACGTGACCCAGCCAATGCGACCCCACCTGCCAGAGGAGCTTAGGGACTATTCTCAATTATTTGCAGGACTCTGAGATCCTCACACGATGCAGGCTGGTTAAAGCCAGAATGCATCGTAGGCAGTTCATCTTGAGTTTTTCAAGTCAGCGATGTCGGTGTTTCTATAAATGGGTTTACATTTCTGAAGCACAGAGAACGAAGGGCATAAGTGTGGTCTAAGAAACCTGGGGCTACACGTGGAGCGATAGACCAGGCAGCTTCCACAAAGTGCTACGTGTAAAAATAAGCCAATGCTCAAATAATCACAAGCGAACAGAGAGCTGTGTTGTTGAGTTGCGACTGTGAATGTGGTGATGGAGTCGAGTGTGCGGATTGCCTCTGGGAGGGTGTTCCAGAGGTGTGGTGCTGTAAAAGAAAAAGATCTGTCCAAACCCCCATTGGTTGTGTGTTTGGTTTTGGGTGGTTGGGGGAGGAGTGCTTGCGTTGAGCAGCAGAAGTGATCTGTCGTTTTGCTTCACGTGTATGAGGTTTCTGATGTAAGGTTGTGTATTGCTTTCAATGTTAATAATATTATTTCGAAGTGTATTCTTATAGCGTGGGTAGCCAGTGTAAGTACATTTTTTTTAGGGTTTGTGTAATGTGGAATTATTTATGGAGATTCAAAGTGAGTATCGGGGCATTGATTGTGAATGAGACCTCGCTTGTCAAACCTGACCTGGCCAGCACAGATACACGGAAACACACACACACAACATGGACGCAAACATGTACAGAATGTACCCCAAGGGAGTAAGAAAAGACACTGCAATGCGAGATGCTCAGTTGTAGTGAAATCTCTACGGGAAAGTGCGGACTGGGCTCACACGACGCATCCAGGGATGGCTTTTGTTTTTGTCAGAAAAATGTTGCGCGCGGAATGTTTACATTCAAAGCCCGGGATCTCAGGGTCTGAACATTAACCCTGAGTGTTTTATGAAATAAAGTCGGGTCCTGCATCTTCCGAAACACTGATTCACGAATGTAAAGTGTCTGCCTCGCATGCAAAATAAAGCTTCACCGGCAAAACAATACACCCGTAACGCTTTGGTTCTTTCAAGAGGCTATTTATACGGCCTCTTGTTACAAGCAGCCCCTTTTGCCCACTTCAGCAATTGTTTATAGCTGTGGTTGTCCCACCTCATGACGGGCACTTGTGTTGCGCCCGAAACGTCGTGATTTTATTTATTTTATTTTATACCTACGTGACTTTATCGAAAGAACCAAAGAGTATGTGGATCCCTGCAGTCACGAAAAATTCAAATCTAGATTAAAACTTCGAATCTAGATTGAATACACCCGTATTCAAAGACTTAAACGAGATAATAAGCCACGCGTTGCATGCGACATTGTGTGCCTCTAACTACTCACAATGAGTTGTTCCATTAACGAGATATCCCGCAAAGATAATTGGGATGACTTATAAAGAGCACAACATGATATTTCAAAGCCTCCACAAGTCTCCCACCAATGTCAATATACATAGAGTATTAAATATTTTAACACTCTCCTGTGTAAGATGAGAAGCCACAACATCCACTAAGCTGTTGAGAAGTGGTAAATATTTGTCTTTAAATTGACCACCCCTGTATATTTTTTATAGCCAAAGTATTCCCCGGATGCTTCGGATTATACGACTACTCCGGAAAGTAAAACGCACCTACATAAACGTGTACCCGGTGTCAACAAAGTTTTACATGCAGCGCGATTATTCGGCTTCCAACATTACCTGGCGGTCCAGGGCCCATCTTGGGCCAAATCGCCACCCCAAGTTCGGCGATCAGCACCGTGCGCGTGCCAAAAAAGAAAAGTAGCTATCCTTGATTTCAGTGTCAAAAAATATTACATGCGGTACATTATACACTACATAAATACAACCTTGAACAACGAGTCTACTGCACGTTGATACATTTTATTATTATTAATAACTACAGTAATAACGCGATGCGATCTGGCTCAAGGTGGGTGCTATTCACCGGGTCTAAAGGCTGCATCAGTCAGGCGATTGTCATACGCATGGTTGTTGAAACAAAAGCGTAGTCTGTACGACGTAAGAGTCTCCGAGACTGGAGTGGTAAATACGATACAGTAAACACAGCAACTGCAACAAAAATAAAACAAGAATACGTTTTTACCCTTTCTGGCAACAAAACAGTTCAGATATTCAAATACCAAATAGAAACCTTTTTTTTTGCAAGGAATCATGTTCGCATTAACCACACACAGTCCTTGTGGTGAAAGTTTCCTCTGATAATATATGCATTGTCTTTGAAACTGATTGGCCTCGTCTCGCCAGTGTCAAACCAAAGAACAACGCCAAAAGGCGAACAATCAACAAAGGGGCCGTCCGTTAAAGACGTCACGCACCTAGGGTGGGGGGGGGGGGTCAGACATTTGTGACAATGTGTGACGATGTGTGACGATGGGGGGGGGGGGGGGGGGGGGTTTGAGAAATGTGACGTCACATCAAAATGCGCAACTTTTAATAAATATAGACAACACGTTCTACTTAATGAAATATACTTTTTAATACATGTTTACTCCTACAACATCAGAGTGCAGCGGCACATTAAATACGCACTACAATGACAATAGTTTAAAGCGATTTGAAGCGTGTTGTATTTTGGGAGGGGGTTGGGGGCAGAGCTTTGTGACGTCATATTTGAGAGGGGGGGGGGGTCTGACTTTTTGTGACGCCGTGAAAATCGCGTGACTGGACGGCCCCTTAAACAACCCACAGAAATCACACACACACACATAGCCATGAGAATCATTACATTACCTGTTGTTTGTTTATAAAGGAATGACGTGTTCAGCCTTGTAGAGTGACGATCAGCGCAAAGCAGATCACTTGCTCCTGGCTGCTGCAACTTGACAGTGGTGAAAAAACACGAAAAACTTACGAAACAAGTTGTCAAATAACACTGCGGCCTTTTAGAATATGTGCCACGTTTCGTGCAATTACCCCTTTTCACAGCACAGAGACAGTCCATTACACCGTATGCCCTTTTTTTAAGGCCACGGTGTGAATGGCAAACGTGTGGGAGTTAAGCGAGTAAGCAATCGGCGACGTTTCGGGCGATGACGCTTGCTCACGGCACTGTGAAGAAGGGCCATTGCCCAAAACGTCGTCTTGTCCTCTTTTTTAATTTTCTTCCCCTGCTGTTACACGAGGAATGTGTTGGGAGTGGTTATTTTTTGTCTCCAGTGTGAACCAGGAAATTAACGTGAAAGGCTGTAGTCAGGTGTAAGTTACGGACCCACGGTCTCACTGGCGGAGCCAGTGGGGGGTAGGGTGGCACTCCCCCCCCCCCCCCCCCCCCCCCCCCCCATGATCCGATCTAAAATTAGCGATTTAGATCGGATCATTAGTAAGAAATCGGCATTTTGCGACCCCCACTGCCACTGTGTACCATATTATTATGTGGCAGGGACTCTATGAGATGAGAGGACAATAGTCTAAGTCAATAATTGGCAATAAGTAAGCGCTAAGCAGTAAAAAGTGACTCAGAATTGTGCGCAGTTGCGTAGAGAGCACACGACTTTCCTGAAGGCATCAGCACCTTCAGCGAGAGCGATGCCGATCACACAACGCGGTTCGCAATTCGACACTCGCCATCGCCGCACGCGCGTCGAACAAAAAGCAAGGGACAAGTCCTTTACTTACTAACAACTCCTTACTTACTAACAACTCCTTACTGACTAACAACTCCTTACTTACTAACAAGTCCTTACTTACTCACAACCCCCCCCGCCCCGCCCCGCCCCCGATCTCCCTGAAAATCTTCTCGCAAAATCAATATCGGAAGACAAGGGGAGCCAACCCTCGAACCAATGTCAATGTCCCACGGGCACTTCCACAACGACCGCGCATCGGAAGAGTCGTCGTACCTTGCGGGTGGTGATGCCCAGCGAGAGACGAACACGTGGGTGGCGGTAGAGGGGGTTTGGGTTGGTGGTGGTGGTGGGGGGGTGGGAAGTGACCCCCGGTCGATGCCCAGAGGATCCGAGTTCGACTCTCACGTTCCCGTGGCGCGTCGAGAGTTGTTGCGGGAAGTTTGCAGAGTTACGAACTTTCCGCCAAGCCCACTTCATTTGAATGGGAAGCGACTTCCTTGTACGTGGGGGGGGGGGGGCAAATACAAAGATCGCCCGTGTAGCCTTAGCTGACTGTCGGCGCAAGCGCTGTTTGCGAAGGCCGGTACGGGCACACTAAGGGGATGGGGTGGCGGCTGGCGGCACCACTACCAACAACCACGCCCGGCCGCCTTTGTCTCCCCACAGTGCCGATATTTACGCATCGCACCAGGTGCTCGTTTGAGGCTGAGTCGACTTAGGCGACGCCCGGAACCGGTTTTGAGATAGTCGTCACCGGTGTTGGTGGCCGTGAGCGTGCGAGGGGTCGGGTGTGGGGATCGAACTCGGGTCGCCGGGTTCGTAGCGCAGCGAGCGCTGACCGCGTTCGCAGTGGGGGAGGTGGTGGTGGGTGGTGGGGGTGGCGTCACGCCTCCGTCTCACGGCCGTTCAAGGTTTCAAGCAAGGGCAGTTCTTTTGTTTCGCTTGTAAAGTGCTTGTGCCAGCTCGTTTGTATCGCCTGCCTCGTTCGGGGTTGTTTGTCGCGGGTGCTTATCCGTGGAGCGTCGCGCCTCGCCTGCGTGCTCGGCCTGATTTTGCTTCGTCTGCATCGCAGCTGTCAATTTATTGTGGACTCAGCCCGTGTTCTTGGACAGGGGAAATTGAGTTTTACGGATTCACACGGCGTACAGCCGATTTTGGACGATTTTTGACCCCCCCCCCCCTCCTCAAATATGACGTCACAAAGCTCTGCCCCCCCCCACCCCCAAAACCATATTTCCATTTTTAAAATAAAGCATGCTTCAAATCACTTTAAACTATTGTCATTGTAGTTGCGTGTTTAATGTGTCGCTGCACTCTGACGTTGGAGGAGAAAGCATTTATTTAAAATAGTCTATTTAATTAAGTAGAACGCGTTGTCTACATTAATATAAAGTTGCGCATTTTGATGTGACGTCACATTTTTCAACCCCCCCCCCCCCAGGTGCGTGACGTCATATATGTACGGCCCCTTGTCCGTCTCGTTTTGTACTCCAGCATCTCTTTACCTTCCGTGAGCTTAAACGAACATTAGCCAACAAAGCCCGCAGACAAATGCACGAACCTCGCAAAGGTTAAACACGTAGGATGCTTTCGCAAGCAATGTGATCCACACGTTTTTTTGTTTTTGGGTTAGATCGCGTAGAGATAAATGTGTCGTGAAACCCGCCACCACCCGACACAGCCAATTAGTAACAAAAACACGACAATTAGTTACTCGCTCAGCACACCCTAGTGTGTTGGAGAGTAAACGCACGACAACGTTTACAATTAGAGCAGTCTTTATTGAGCGAAAGCAAAGGTCCATAAGCCGAGCGGTTGCTTCCGATCCTGCTGTGTCGAGGGTGGGGAGGCCCCTGCACTGAGTTTGTGTATTGGGCAGACTTCGAGGGATGTGGTTTTGCGTGGGGTTGCTCCAAGGCCGTAGCCATGGAGTCAACATTGGGGGGGACCAAATCTTCCAGGGGGTCTGGGGTCCCCCCCCCCGTAAAATATCTAAATTTGAAAACTAATTTCCTGCCATTTCCTGCCTAAAATATAAAAAAATGCACTAACACATGGGATGTACTTTTTATTGATTGTTTTACCATCATGTCTAAGAGTGTATTGTATTTGTTACATTGCTCTTTTATCTTTTCTTGTTTCATTGTATGTAATGGCAGAGAATAAGGATTCATAAAGTACAACCATAACCACAATCATATAAACAGAAATCTATGCATTGTTATATGAAGACAGGTCCAGATATTGTGGCCAAGGTTTAACAAATTGTTATTTTTATATACATAGCATAGCAATTTTTATTTTTAAAGCAATATATTGGGAGGGGGGGGGGACATTTTGAGCATATTTGATTATTGGGGGGGATATGTCCCCCCCCCCAATATAAATAATTACGGCCTTGGTTTGCTCCAGCCCAGAGGCACATGGCAGGGCTTGCTCTTCTGCCTCCATCGGTGGAGGTTGGCGAGGCAGTCCTGAACCCTGTTGAGGGGGGCCCCACTCCTTGCTGGAGAGGTTGAGAGCGGGGGGGGGGGGCTGCTGTGTGGGAGTAGTCCTGAGGTACCCCGTAATCAATCGATCCTCACATCGGAATACAATCATCAATTTCAATCGATGGGTCTGTACGTGATGACGTGGTGCCCAACCAGCTGACAGTTGGGAAATTCCCTGCGGGGCCACCAGTTGGTACCTCTGCAAGTGTTAATAATAGCTCCGAAGCACGGGAGCATGGAAATACCGGACAGCATGCGCAATGGATTGTGCATAAACAAACACGCAGCGAGGTTGATGGTGGTGATGGGTATCTGTGAAAAAAAATCTGTATAGCGCATCGGATTCCTCCAGTATACATCCATACCCTGATTGTGATTCTGAAGCGCGTTGAATAGCAGGTATGGACTCAAACCCATCCGCTCTTCCTTAAGTCCCTCCTCAAGCTACCAAACGATTTTGCCAGCCATGTTCAATCCACTGCTACTTAACTCTCGCAAACCCAGGCATAAATAAAGCACGATTTAGAAAGTGCGGTGATTAAAAAAAAAACGCTACACGAAAATTTATTTTGCAGAAAGTGCCTCGAAGAAATTGGACCTAGCCTGACCCCAATCTGTATATAGCACTTGCACATCTTGATTAGAAGCTTTCGTGAATGCAGGATTTCATACTCCGAGGTTCTTTCGGTAAAGTCACGTAGATAGGAAAATAAATAATATAGATCACGTTTCGATCGCAACAACAAGCGATCGTCCTCGGGTGAATGAGAGAAACATGCCTCTGTGACGAGTCATTATATAGAGGGGGAGGGGATAAATTCAAAGAGGGGTTGAGTGAGAGAGAGAAATGTGACAAGGAAGCTGAGATATCAAACTTAACAAAATTTTGAAATGTAATGCAACTCAGAGAGTCGGCGAACACAAGTTAACACTTCACCTGGTTGATGATCTATGGATCTTCTTTTCACAGATGTCCAGTATGGGCGGGTCAGCAAGTTACATACAATAATTAATCTCATCACGAAGGGGATAAAGGGAGAGCTATTGTAGTATTCGAAGTGGTTTTACTGCCCAAGTTTCTTGCGGTTGTGCCATAGAGCTAGCGCTCCTGCATTTTCGCGAATACTATACTAAATTCGGTTGAGGAACTAAGAGCAAAAGGTCGAAAAACGGCGAACATGTGGCACTATCTAAAAAAGGACATCGGAAAGCTGTAAAGCCATAGGGTGCCCTCGTGTTGTTAGTGCATGCCATGTCACACCAAGTGCTGGGAGCTTATTTTCAGAACTTATATTCGGTTCAGGAACTGGGAAGCTTCAATTCCTGACGAAGCTCCCTTGCACGTGGAGGGATAATCTGAACGCGCATCGGAGAGCTATCAGTTTCACGAGGTCACTCTGGATCCAATGTCAGAGACCAGACGAGTTCATATTTTCTTATTCCCGACAGGTGACATACAGGGTCTGTGTTGCAGCCACGGTCTCACCCGAGCAACGCAAACTCATCAATCACAATTGTTAGAGTAATTTGTAAACGATGGATATCAACAAAACAATCACAAGCTCAAATATTGTGATGTCACTTAACAGCAAACATTCTTTTATCGTCGATTATATTGTATCGATTATCCTAAATTATTTTGTATCCATAAGGTTGTACGTAGAAACTTATTTCAGACTTTTTAATCCTTGTATTTTTTTTAAAAAGCAGTTGCCAAGCACAGGCCAAAATATGTAATAAAGCCCCAATAGCACACAACACTGTTACAGTTGCAATACACGAGACTGAACGTTTCAGGAATTCAGCAAGCTTATGAAAAGTTTGGGAAATACGCGATCAGAGGGGAATTCCAAGGTCGATCGATGCGAGGGAAGATGCAGTAGGCTGTGGTGGGACACTGTGGTTCAGACGAAACGGTCAGCCTGGGAGACAGAGTCCTCAACATGGGTGGAAGAATCTTATGTCTCTCCGCGATGCGTTTACGGTTCGTACTGCGTGTTGTTCTGAATATTCGGTTCCTGAAGAGGCTGAGAATGTGAAGAGAAACGTCGGACATCACGCCAAACAACACGTGGTACAACTCAAAACATACAGGAGCGCTGTGAACATCTACGTGGTAGCGTTTGCAATACTTGTATTGACTGCTGTGAATGTATGTTGATCTTATTTCGCACCGTACGTGGCCAACCGTGCTCAACGTAAGTGGGAATTTTTGTTTTAAACATAGCAATGCAAACCTAGAAATGGCATAGACAGTAATGCAATCTGTACAAGATGTTTAATCAATAAAATCGACCATGAACCCAGACACTTTTAGTATTTATTTTACTTTATTTCAAAGTCATATATGTCATTACAGTATCAATGGATCTTATAGAATGTGCATGTTTTTTTGCTTTTTCCAAAAAAAGACAAACCTAGCACATTCAAGAGAAAATTATGAAAAGACACCAATAATCCTGATTATCACTTTTTGTATAAGTAATCAGAGAAAAAAAGAAAAGAAAATCTATGCAATAAAAATCTGGACACTTGCTAACTATTTACAGACCGCGAGCCGAGGATGTTACTTTTATTTATGGGGCGATGCAATCACACGAACCCCCACCTTAGCGGATGAATTGGACTTCACTGTTCTTGTAATTAAACGCCAGCCCGACACCGGATTTCTAAGAGCTTAAGATTATAAGGAATGATAGTTTTACAATAAAGAACACGCTATACTCTTCCCAACACTTAAAATTTTAAGATCTTCTCGGGCCAACATGCGTGGCACTCGGAATTGCAGCTTTCTACGAAACAGCAGGCTCTCATTTACACCGTTTAAAAAATATATATGACACGATGCATTACCTGCCCTCGTCACGAATCGCATTCATACCCCTATGCAATAATGGAACACTACAAAAAAAACAGCGTATGAGCATCGACAGTGAAGTCACACTCAGGAAGCGTTTAAATTTGGACCGTTCCATGCTGTGTGGGGGGTGCAGAGATTTATCTCCTCTTAGATGAACCTGTGTACGAGAGGACTCAACGGCTTTTGAGATTCTGACTGGGTTGCGGAAATTTGAAGCCAATTGGACAATGCTGTTAAAGCGATGGCTCAATTTTTGCTCGGCACTCACTTGCTAAAGCTCTCCGTGGTTTGGTGACAATCACTGGGCACAATACACAGGGCTTGATTATAGAACGTGTGTATTTTTTATGCTGACAAGTTGCCCTTGACAACGGAGTCAGGCCATCGAGCAGCGAGGTACTTTTCCCATCAATTCAATGAACGGTTGTGTTCACGCTATGCAACAAACAGTACTCTTTTCATGTTGACTTTATTTTTTTTTAAGTGTGAAATATTTAAGGCAATAATCCAGTTTGTGGAAATAGAAGAATGACAACAGTGGATGTGGTAAACAATCCGGCGTATGTGGGGAAACGAGTTTACCGTGACCCCAGCAAACCTCATGCAGCAATGACGTATGACGTTCATGACAACTGCAAGGATAAAGCTTGACCAAAAGCAAGAACTAAAATGAAAATAGGCTGTTGCTGGGAACAGTCACAAAACCCTTCAAGTGATACACATCATCCCTTATTAAAAGCCAACGGCCTCAACAGTTTAGACTAAATACGAATGCCAGGCCGCGCTAGCTTACCTTACGAATCAGATATGGGGACTGCATGGGTCTGTCTGAACATCAACATCTTGTGAAACGGACTCCATCAATACCACGCTACACCGTAGCCCACGCCTAGTTTCCACAGTAGCTCACGATAGCAAAACTTCTGCTCCACACAAGCTGTCAGCGTTCTTAAGAGTGGATGAAAGGAGATTGGGGTACAGATCGCTGACACAGGTATTTAATTTCTCTTTTATAAACAATTTCAGGTAAGTAATGTACATGATGACACGATGTGGCATTGCTTTGGAAGTATGGGCTAAAACAATTTGGAGGCTTCAACAGAACGTTCCTCTGAACAAATTGCGAACACTACCTACGGTCTCACGGCTTGAATCTTGTTGGTGTTCTTCGTCTGATGATGTGATAGGCTGGGAGCTGGGGGAGAGGAGTGTGGTTGCAGATGGGTGGGGGGGGGGGGGCTAGGCAGGTTTAAATGATCCCCCCTAACCCACGGATGAGATGATGACGTCGCTGACCACCGCATCCTGGCTGCGCACGGTCACCTGCATGGTAACGCCGTCCGCCAAGGCCAGCCGAGCTCGCACCAGCACGTCGTGTCCGCCGCGGTACACACCTGCGGTATCAAGACGACAAAACAACCCCCCCCCCCCTCAATTCCTGTTTTAACGTTCATTAACTGCAGGGTATAACTGACCAGAATGTCTATGTACAGCAATGCAGTGGGGGTGGAATGAGGAATATTCAAGGTATAAGCAAGTATAAAAATCAAACCAATTATCCATACGAAAGCTACCAATGTCCTGGATTGGCTGAAACAGTCACAGCGTTTCACCAGGTGTCCTGAAGCATTTTAGTAATTTAGGATGTTTGCAACCAGTTTAAAATGTTCTGCCCTCAAGCTCGACTCAAAAAGGCAGGGTTACCTTGGCTGTGCGTGTGGAGTATTCGGGGCGGGGGGAGGCCTTCGAGCAGCAAACGGTGAGAAAAAGCTAGGCCCCTCACTGTGTGAGTGGAGCGAGCGGTTGAAGGGGCATGGCTACTTAAAAGTGGGTGGAGCCGACACTGGGAGAACCCGACTCCTCAGCAGGCCTCCTCATTAGGCCTCCCAGAAATGTGGTAGCTTTACCGTCTGGGGCGAGCGTTGACAGTCTCTTATGAGGGGCAGCACAGCACATAAAATGAGGGCGCGTTTAGTGCGGCCAATGCTAATCAAAACTGGTGGCCTGTCTCTCCCATGCTGTAAATGTTTACCGTGACATAACGCCGATAGCAAATGTACTTCGGGGGGGGGGGGGTGGGGAAAAAAAAACTCCAACAAATCCTAGGAACAGTCCAGAACGCACCTGCCAAGTAGAGCGTGTGTGAGCTTTTGTTCTCAGGCACCTTCTCGGAGCGCTCACAAGGCTGCATGCCCAGGAAGTTCACAATGTTCTTCACGGTCTCTGTAAACGACACGCGGCCAGTATAAGGGATCGAGCTACCGACACGACTGCCCACTCCCGTTAGCCCGGCCGTGCCACTCACTGCCAAAGCGCTGCAGTGATGTCATATCACGTGTACATTATCATCGCCGTCATCATCACCATCAGCGGTTGTCACGGGCAATGTTTGCATGCATTCCCCCACCTCTTTGTTTGATTGGCGCCCAGGCCCCGGTGCAGTCGCTCCGTCAGCACAATAAATAGCTACGCCACTGATCACCATAACCCTCATTACCATCGTGCACGAACCAAGTCATGTCTTGTGAATGTTTGGCCCACAGGGACCCACTGCAGCTCAGCATTGGAGTATCCTGTCAAGCCCTGGCCCAAGCATTCCATTTGGGATACACTGCCTCGGGACAATACATGTAGTATAGATAGTAATGAAACAATAAAGACCTATGTTCTATCTACCAGTTGCCAATAATGTTTTGTTTTAAAAAAAGATTAAAACTCAACGGAAAACATTAAACAATTGGTTATGTTACGTAAAATGATAAATCCAGACATTTATATGCCTCTTATTGAGGTCATGTAAACGGCCAATTTAAATGAAAATAATAATGAAATAAGTTTTTGATGTTTGGAGTGGTTGTCAAATGCCAGAATGCCTCTGTAAGTGAATATACAGTGAACAAACTGTGGGAGCAGAGGTAGTATTTCACCGTGTGACCCAGCACAGCGCTTGCACCTTTAAAGCTTTGCTAAACATATACACACAGTACAACACCCACATGTAAAGCTACTGTCAAAAATATAAAAATGAAGTGTCAGCCTCTCAGCTACAGAGAAGAGCTATCATGTGAATAATGGCAAGGCCTCAAACTTGTGTTGTGTGCCCATCACAACTGCTTTTTGTGTTCAGTTTGTCCTTCCCCGCAAAATCCGATTAGCACGGTCGACCACGTACAGCGCAAAAGAAGTTCAATATACATACACCATGTTTACTCTATCAATGACTGATAACATTTGGATGGCGATATATTGCTGTGGTAAAGGTTTATATTTTATTTTAATAAACCTATGCACTTTATCAATAAAAAGACATTTTATGTTCATGATTGAGTGTGGGTTGTGGGCAGAGTAAGGACCAGAATAGTGGCAAAGAAGGTTGTGATCAGAAGATAAAATCAACGCAGAAGATAACAGCACGTAATCCGACCACAAATATATTTCTACGTCGACCACAATGATTGGTAAACCTTTACCAAACGACACCACTTTAAGGTATTCGCACCATTTTGAGTTGTCATGCTGTAAGGGAAAAACAGGTTGAATAAACGGCTCACACGTTCAATTGTTTGATTTGCACATGCGCGTCCGCTTGGCAGGCCCTTCAAAGCCATCTCCAAAAATACTCAGCGATTCAATAGACTCAGCGATTCAATAGATGTATGAACGATATATTGGCGTTACTGCCTTTCATCTTACGGAGCTTAAATTATTCAAGGGAGAACGTGCAATCATGCCTGGCGATTTGTGGTGCTCTTGTCATGTGCTATGACATGGATCAGAAACAAGCACAGTGATGAGGAAAATAGAAATAAATGCGGAGAGGTGGTTGCTTGGAAATAAATTGCGAGGCAGAAAAGGGGAGCACATGGATGAGAGAACAATTGCAATTTACAGACATCATGTTGACAGTTTGGCAAAAGTATGTGGACTTGGGCAGAAAACGTTTCTGGAAGGCATGATGGCTTGTTGTCGAGTCAAAAGACATAGCGGCAGCCAAAGGATAGAACAAACCCAATGAGATGTCCAAAGAGGAAAGGGAGCGCTAAGATGAGCTCATGTTCAGGTGCTAGACGGACTGTTAGATCGTAGGAATGTGACAAGATGGTGACAGCTTCGGGAGGCCTTTACTAAGAGTGGATATATCATATTCTTTCAGTGCAGCGTGGCCGTGCGTGCCAGAACATCTATAAGGGCGTTAAAGATCTAAGAAGCTACACTGGACAGCAGCACCCATATCAATCAGGAACTCGGATACAAAGAAAAAATGTGTTCCCTTCACCAACCCACACCAAGCAACAGTGATATATAGTAAAACAATCTCAAAGAAGGGATAAATGGATGATGCTGACGACAAGCACATACCTTCGATGGTCTTGGTGGCGGCGAGCGCAAAGGTGTCCTCCTTCTCGAACTCTTCGCCCACCTCGTCCCATGCCGCTGAGAAGTTGGGCTTGAGCACCTTCTGGATGTGGTCACCCAACACCACCTCCACGTCCTCCAGCTGTGTCACGACCGGCGACGCAAGTTAACAAAACCTGCGATGCGACCGGCACGGCTGCACCAACAGTTTGTGGTACTTTTTTTTCTCAATGGCGCAAAATGCATTCAATTGCGAAATGCTGGCAAAAGGGGGCGGTGGACCCACTTACCACATACTCGTCATCGTAACCATCGTCTTCAGCCACACCAGTGTTGGGGTCGCAGTCTTTCACCATGAACTTCATGGTGCAGCTGAACGTGCACGCAACTGGTGGGCAGAGGAGGGAGGACAAAGCATGGTCAGACTGCAGCACCAAACTAAAGTACCAAACGAAACAATTTTTATTTTTTATTTTTACCAGGTAAGGCCCACTGAGCAATATAAAAAAAGATTTTCAGAAGCGACCTGGCCCCAAATGATAGCCCAACGAAGTGGCTCATCACGTGAAAATTTATAGCAGCCAAATAACCTAAAAGCACGTTTCTAAATGTGGAGGGAAAACCAGAGGATCCGGTAAAAAAGATCCGCGCAACCACTGGGAGAACATGCAAACTCCAAATATACAGGCGTTAGGGTCAAGATCGAATCCACGACATTCTGTATACCACGCGAGGTAGTTAACATCTCGCCACCGTGGCACCCCAAGCACAAGGTGTGCGCGTGTGCCCTCTGGCCAGCATTCCTAGTTAAGGTAAAAGACCACAGTGAGAGGCCTCACCGGCGGCGGGGTCGTCTTGCGGCAGGCCGACGAGCGTGTATGTGGTGCCGGGCTGGTTGTAGGGCAGGCTGGTGGCTGGGATGCACGTCAGGACTTCGTAACCCTCCGAGGGCTCCATCTGCACGGTCACCTTTTCCAGAACTTGGTCGTTGAGCGTGTTCGTGCAGTCGAACTGCAGCGTTGCGGAGGGGATAATAAATAATATTTGTATTTGCATTCTTATCAGACCCAGAAATCAGAATATTTATTTATATTGAAGGAATCCGATGAGCTATAAAGCTCTATTTGACAGATGTCTAGTAGGGGCGGGTCAGAACGTTACAACAAACAATACAAGAACATGCGAGTAGTGCATGTTAGTTCAATCAAGTAATTTAGAGGGAGCAAGAATATATCTTAAGGATACAATGTCACTATAAGTAAATTGTTCTATTTGCTAGTTTATCACTCACAACAGTGTTATTGGTTGTCTTGAAAACTTTTGCGATTCTAAATTCAAGTGCGCTATGTGAAGTGATCTGTTCAATTGCGTTCTATTTCTGTTGGCACTTTGGGACTTGGTTTATACTTGTAAGATGCACGTTCACAAGTAATATATGAAGGTGGCACAGCCTGCGTATGCGAATTACATGGTTATTCAGACACGTGCTAAGACGAGAAATTATTTGGTTATAAGTTTGGTTCACTTCCCAACTCTGTCAATTCGATGATAGATGAAGGCCTCCTGGCGTCATGTTGGTCATGGAGGTTCTTTGGCGATACTTCACGCAGGTCAGTCCGGGTTGGTGAAGGGAGACGGCTGGGCGGACGGGGGACGTCAACCCAAGACTCAACGCTGATATTAAGCCGTGACCAAGAATGGAATCCTTGGCGCCGGGTTCATAGTGCAATGCGCTAAGCACAGAGTCATTGCTACAAAGTTGGTTATAAGGGAGATATCCCGATATGAAGCCCTAGGTAAATGTCTATGTGAAGTCCATTGTGTGTCTGTGGATACAATGGCAAGTGTGTGACGTTAAATCCATGAAAGGTTTTACACCTTGGCTTCCATTCCCTGGCCGTGAACAGCATTGGCAATCGGTATCTAAAGCTGGTCTTCACCTCTCCCCGGTGGACTCAGCATACAATTACCGGTGCAGTCATGTGGATATAAGGAATGAGTAGACAAAGCTTCACTCCCCCGTGTGCCATGCTGGCTTTGATAGGTGCTTGCTAACACAACACTTACCCCACCAGCTTAAACAGATAAAGGATATTTGTTCTCAAGAAAATTAACAATTCTCCCACTTCTCCATAATTCCACCCACATCCAAATTATCACCAACTTCCCTATTCCCCTAGATGTGGCTTCTATTAATAAATATGGCAGTAACATTGCACACTGGCATGTGGGTTGTGGTGATTGAGACAGTTTGTTCGTGGTATGTAACACCACTGATATTAGCTTGATTATTGTTTAATATTTAATTTTATTCATTTTTGCTTATGACCAAATCACCCAGAAAAGCACCCAATGTCATCATACCTGAGAAGCTAAGCAGATGTGAGCTTGAACAGTGCACTTGGATCGGTGACAATGCCAAAAGACATTGTGGCAAAATACCATTGTTGTCCTGTACTCTCTCCACCTTCACCAGCTGGAATAATCAGCATGGTGAGGTATGGGTCAAATATCCCCTAATGGGCCACAAGGTATGGGGAGGCCCTCAATCAGCAGGGTATTCACAAAACAGGTTGCATATGCACTGAACATCCATGGGCTCACTATAACTCAGCACAGATGCATATCCTCTCAAGCCTGAAAAATAGTTGTTGTACACATTTTTTTATCTTTGTCGTGTGACTCACCTGAAAGACAATGTGCTTGCGGAAAGTGTGCTTGATGCAGCGCACCACGTATTCCGTCTCCGACTCTGTGAGCTGCGTCGGTGGCGACGACTTGAACAATGGGCCCAGGTTCTTGAACTCAGGGATGGCGGAAAGTTGCTCTGTTACATCGCAAACACACGCGTCGCAAACAACTCAAATCTTTGCTGCCGCAGCTGCTCTCCGATGTAATTTCAGGTTTGTACCACGTGTTGTTCGACTTGATGTCCAACACTTCCGATCCACATGCTGAGATGTTCCTGAAGAAGCTCCCAGCAAGTGAAGTTGAAATATTATACATCATGCAGAACAACATGCCGTATGACAAGAAAACACGTTAGAAAGGTATACAGCACAACAGTGAAAACATATGCAGTAGTACCAACACAATAATTGCATTTTATAAAGTACAACGAAAACGATGCATATTTACCTCGGACAAGGCTACGAGATGATTTCCCTATCAAGTGGGCATGCGCAGGACACATCACTGCAAGGGATGATGGCCAGTGGCTGAGACTAACGATGGAGTCAAAGATGAGAATGTGTCTGAGAGTACATTCACAAAGGAGATGGTGCTAAAGTGTTACGTCGCAGGACTGTTAGAGATGGTGACAGCAGTGAATTGCTTATTGCTGATGATGAATGCTATGATACATATTAATTATGCATCCAAAAGTTGCGGTACATGACTGCGTAGGCACACCTTGAAATATTTCTTGGCGAGAGGCCACCACCTTATCAGGCTGCTTGTGTGTGATGATCGGACCTGTTTCTGTGTAAAGAATGATAAAAAAAAATAGACAGACAGACACCCACTGCAGCATAAGTCTTTCCTCAGCTCGTAGTATGGTGCCATTACCACAATGGCATTGTACCTGTCGAACAAAGTCAAATGAATATAATATTGAAAAAATATTTCACGGAAGAAAACTAATTTCATACCTTGACAGGTCCACCCATGTTAAGGACCCCTTCAATCAAATTGTATCTACTCATCAATGTAGTAAGCAATATTTATCTTTCTATTCATGTATTGCGCAGTTATTTGAACTCCCTAGGATTCCTTTCAATTCAAGAAACACATTTATTATTATCTGCTGTACTTCATAAATGCTGTCTGTCCCTCACAATGAAACTCCCTCCCATTATCTCTTCTCTCAGGTTACTAGGGCCTTGCTCAATTCCCAAAAAATCGTACCTGTCATATTTTGGGCTATGTGTTGTAAGGCCATAGGGCCTGTATTCAATAACTGCGATTCATAGAATGTGCACACCAGCGCATAGATATGTTTTCGAGTGGTACCGCATGTTGCTTGAAGGTATGCCAAAACACACGTGGTATCTCCTATATAGAGCACAACCATGAAAACCTACACAGCCCTAATGTGCCCGCTCCTCCCGTTACAAGCACTCACCGGTTGTTCTCTGTTCGGCCAGTGGGGCAGTCGCCAAAGGCACCGACTTCATGTCGAAAGGCTTTTCCGACGGCTCCAGCGTGTACTGGTGCAGAGCCTTCTCCAGACCGGGCACCGACACGGCAAGACCTAAACGATACACGGGCAGGTCTCAAAATCCCAGCACCGCACCCGTACGCCATTGGCGCAGCCAAGGCCATTTTCGCCACCATCATCAGTCTGTCGTGCGAGGTGGGGCCCCCACCATTGAGGATGTAGACAGCATTGAGGGCCTTTTGTTTCTGCTGGAGGATGTTGAGGTAGAAGGTGGAGCGATCTCGGACCTCATCATCACCGTCCATCATGCACCTGCCACGCAAAAGCAAAAATGCAACTCTCTGACAAACATAACGAAACCCTAACGCTTTAATTGCCTGTGCCTGTCAACCAGGGGACATGCTGTCAGAAACAGAGTGCAGTACATAAAATGTTTTACTATTTCGAATGTACTATGCTCACACACTATGCTCCCTATACTTGGGTCTTTCAGTAAAGTCACGTAGATAGGTTCAAAGAAAATAACAAAAAAATCACAAACAAACGACAACGTTTCGATCGCAACGCAAGCGGTTGTCTTTTTTTTCTGAAGACGACCGCTCGCGTTGCCATCGAAACGTCGCAGTTTTTTGTTATTTTCTTTGAACCTCTTCTTTGGTTCTTTCGGTAAAGTCACGTAGAATGAGAATAAAATAATAAATTGATAAAATAAAATAACACGATAATATTCTCACGACGTTTCGGCCACAACACAAGTGGCCGAAACGTCGTGAGAATATTATTGTGTTATTTTATTTTATCAATTTATTATTTTATTCTCATTCTACGTGACTTTACCGAAAGAACCAAAGAAGATTAATCCTTGCAGTCACGAAAGCTTTAAATCTAAATTCTTTGAACCTATCTACGTGACTTTACCTAAAGACCCAAGAATAAGAATTCCTGCAGTCACAAAAGCTTTAAGTCACTATGCTCCCTGCTTTAATCAGCGTGTCCAAGTATGGTAAAATATCTCCCATGACCCACATGGTGCAGGGGAGACTCATCCAGAAGTAGATTGACAAAAAGCGTCGTACATCCAAAACAACCGGAACGTGAATGCTTAAACAAACGGGGCCGTGACGAGCGTTGCTTACGAGCTGTCCCAAAAGTTAGGGGGCGTTTGCGAGTGGCATGGTTGCGGTGAAATAATGGGAGGCCGTGGCAAACATGCCGTGGGTAAATAACATTGCATACTGTGACAGTGGTGTAAATGGGGTTAAACAAAGGAGTCTGTTACCTCTGCAGAAGAACGAGAATGCTGGGCAGAAGGTCATCATTCTGAGCACCAAACTTTGCAAGGGCGCTGACGGCAGCTGCACAAGTAGGACAACATTCTAATTATTTCCAGCAAAGGTTGAACTCGCGCATACAGGAGCTGTCCATCCATGTATCGGTCCGTAATGGGGGGGGGGAGGGGGCGGTACTATAACTCTCGTCAAGGTGATCAAATAAGAAGCAACCTCTAGTATAAAGCCCATTATATGCGTATCTTTGTATGGTAGTGCTATTGACGGATGTGTTGAGTTTTTTTGTTATTTTTGCTTGTGCACCATTGCCATTGCAGTATGACCAAATCATTTGCAGTATTACGTGTTTTTCGATTGAAAACTGGAAAAATTTATCAACGGGTTTGCCAAAAACTTGGGAGACACAAACCAGAGTATAAACGACTATTTACAAACATGTAACCACATTTTACTTCGACAGTTACCCATCCGTCGGCGTCCATACTGAGAATTAAATAACTCAACACTTCAAAGCATTGCACAATTCCATACGTATGTTTGTTTTTAATAGGGGCTTTTTTTGAACACCGCCAGCCCTCCTCCCACTTTTCTGGTAACAAACTTTCCGCAACGGCCTCAGGCGAGAGACAAAGCGATGGATGCACGGACCGGCGCGGACAGCCTCGTTCTCCAGGATGACGCGGTTGTAGATGAAGCGGATGTACTTGGAGGGCGTGGCGGTGCGCGGGCCCTCGCGGCCCAGCAGGTGCAGGATGCGCGTGGCCAGAACCGTGTGCTCGCAATCCTCGATGAACTCGCAGAGGTGTGACAGGCCGGTCTCCTTGCTCTCCACGCCCTCCTCGATGATGCTGATGATGCAGTCCACGATTGCCCGCTTGTACTCAAACCCGCCCTGAGGTCGGAAAGCACATCGACTTTATTATTTCAACAAATACGTATGCATAGAGAAGCCCAATTTTTATTTAATACTCAATGAACTGACTATATACAACGTAACTGTGAGCTTTTATCACGTGCGTATTGTTTTGCTTTCATGGCCCAAATCTCCCTGGAAATGCAAGCAATTTTTTTCGCAACTGGCTCTCACGTGGTTTTAAATATAGGATATTGAGTGAATAAAAAAGGCCAGATTTACATCGACCGAAACATCACCTTCAAGATTTTCCCTATTGTTGGTGATGGAAACTGCAGAACATGTTTGGCAATAATAGCACAAAGGTAAAAAAGCATCAATAATTGAACCCAACCCAGTTCGCGGAACACAGCGGTAAATTGTGCTCACCTCATCCCGCAGCATGGAGGAGAGGAAGTTCATCATGACAGAGTGTTTGCGTGGGTATTTCTGGCAGAGGGCGCTGATAGCCTGAACCACCACTACCTAGAAAGAGACACAAACGAGTATCAGCAGCCAACCGTTTACCACAAACAGTTCTAGGGATCACTGATGTTGAAAAATTTGGTTCTGAAATGAGAAATTTCGACAACAATGCATACAGTATCACAAGCATCTGTAAAGATCAACTGTATGCCCACAACAGGAATAGGAACATGGAATTGTAAACATTCTATATATGTCAGCTTGCTTGATTGTGTAAGATCTGTATATTAACATCTACTGATAAATCATAAAAAACGTTAAGGATATGCAAGACAGTGCAATGAGCTAATCTATCACCTGACCACAAAGTGGAACCAATGATATCTCCATAATGATTGCAAGAGCCATAAGACAGAAAGTGAGTGTATTATTTCTGTATATACAGAAATACATAAATTTGTTGACGGACTGGTTATATTTGATTTGGAATATTCCAACTGTGTGAAACCCCCCTGTGGTTAGACGCTCCGTTGGTTGAACCCATGACGTCAATTCCGATTTTACAGTATAAACGGGGGGCTATGAGAAGAGCCGGGTGGGGAGAGAGTGGACACAGTCTTTTGACTGTTCGACAGGGTGATACAGTACGTGCGATGAAGTGATACAGTACGTGAACAGGCGAAGATATAACTTTGGAAAATGCTCGTTTTTGTGCAACTAAGAAATGAAGAAACAGTTTAATTTAAGACACCTCAAACACGCGTCAGATTTATTGCTTTCACAAGTTAAGGCGTAGCTTATTTTCTGGTACAAGAAAGCTGCGCCTACAACGATTACAGACTCAGTCAGTTCATTTGCTTGGACAACTAGGGTCTGCTGCATTTATTCGGATGACCTCTGTGCATGCTCTCATTCCAAGCCTCAATGACAGCAACAGACAAAGAGACATTGCACATGTTTATGGATCCAGGATAGGGTAGAGTGCCAATGAGGCCTCCGCCAGATTGGTGATCTGACATCAGTGCCAGGCTTTGGTGCTTCAAAAGGAGGGGTGGTTTGATCTAAGCATGCAGCAGGTCCAAAGACTGAGTCATCAATATCTGACAAACACTTAAATGTCCTCAAGCTTTCAGACATGACTGCAAACCGATAGTTGAATTTTCCCAACTGCATTTCATCGGTAAAGGATGGACTGAAAAGAGCTTACACTTTGCAGTAATGCTCTTACGCAGGGGAAACATGCCGAGTGAAAAAGACATAAAAGGAAGAGCGGCACGGTGGCTAAGGTATGCAAATAGTGTTACAAAACAGAGTTGGCACTGCTGTCATCCTGAGTTCCAATCAGTTTAATCACGAGCAGTAAAGTAACTGATTACTTAATGGGTCGGTTATGACTTCTAGATATGAATGTGTGTGACAGGCGGTGTGGGAGCCCTTCCGGCGTGGGCGCGCGCACGCACGCACCTTGAATTCATCGGAGATCTCGGACATGAAAGAAGAGATCTGCTTCATTAGGCGATCAATGCTGCTCTCGCTGCCGGTCTTCAGCAGCGTGGTGATGGCCAGCGTGGCGATGCTGCGGTTCGAGTCCGTGATCAGGTTCTCCAGGTCAAGGTTACACGCGGTCACTGCCGACGGGTGCTTCATGGCGACCTGTATGGTTCCGCGTGCACAAAGGTTCACCGTATAAGCCGTGCAAGACTACGCAGCCCATGACTTCATTTCACAAGAGTGACCTGCGATAAATGTTCATTCAACACTGAATTTTAGCCGTACTAATTGAGTACTAGAGACAGGTTATTTAGGCCTGGCACAATTTTCTTCTGCTACGATTTACTGAATTGTCACGGCTCAAGGTTATTATTCAAGAATCAACTACTTCTGTCCTTTGCATTGCTTGTGGAATCAGTTTTGCCCGCAGAGTTTCCGAGACAATTCTGGCTATCCATGAAATAATCACATATTGTACATATGAATGAAAAGAAATCCAATTCTTACATGCACAATGTATCACAAGAATATTGATTTTATTCAACTAAGCATTACATTTGTAATTGCATAATGTCTAAATGAATACCTTGTACATTCAACTTTTAATTATATCAACTCCATGCTGTTTCTAATTGAAATAGCATGGATGTTGTAGATTAACAGGGGCCTTCATTACGAGCGTTCCTGCCGGATCTTGAACATTTATTTTCAAAGGCGGTGAGCGAAGCGTGATACCTTATTGAGCGTGCGCACAGCTGCGTAGCGCAGGGCCGGCTTCGGGGAGCTGCAGAACAGCTGCAGCACTGAAGACGGAAACACAAGCCAACGCACAGTGCAGGAAAAACATAAAGACTTTAACCTTTTGTCAACACTAAATTGTATCTTTCAAACACATTGCTGACTTTACATATACACACCCAAATATCGACCCCTTACCAAGCTGGAGAGAAGGCCTGTGATGATTGAACATCACCCCTGACCCAGATTGATGATGGATTTTCACAACTCTGGGTCATAACATCTAAAAATCAATTCTTTTTTTCTCTTGTTTGTATTGTCCATCTCTTTCATTTCATTAGACAAAACAATGACACCAATTTGTAAAGTGAATCTATTCTTGAAATTTGATGCTTGCACTGTGAAATAATACATTTTGATGATTAAATTGATGCCTAAAGGTTGTCATGAATGTCATCACATGTCAGAGCTCATTTAAATATGAATCCACAATGCTTCCACTACATCTTTTAATTGGACAAGTTGTAGTGTAATTAAACAATAATAGCTCATGCTTCAAAAAACACATTACATGTTTTATTTTGAGCAAAATCCTACTGCGAATACCACATACGATGTTAAGGTACCTTGTCCAAGCAAAACTTTAAAAAGAGTACTGTGCATGGCAGCAATGATTACACAGTGCAATAATATAATCAAGAGGTGTCGCTGACCATCACAGGCACAGCTTGTGACTGATACAGCACCAGCTCATATCTCACCTCTGCCAGTACACATCACCGGATGGCATGTGAAAGTTTGTATTTCTTTCACCATCAATTCGCAGCCCTTATATTCCTCAGTCGTGCAGAACATCAAGTACATTGCGTTGACACGCACTCAATTTATGCATTGCTGTAAATAAGACAGCCGATGACAAAATCAACCAAAATGCTCCCGGGCCTCATGAGATCTCTTAAGTTAAGCAGTGGTAGGGGCCCTGAATAGGGCCTGGATGGTTGACCACCCTGCACAACCAAGTTGTAATAGGGCTACAGGGCTACACGTTGAGCAGACAAGGGCAGAATATCCATAATAAATCTGTTTTGGGTTAGATCACGAAAATATAAATGTATCGTTAAACCCGCTATCAGCCAACATGGCCAACGAGTAAAATTTGTTAGTTACTACTTCAGCACACCAAAACTCGCACTGACCAGCGTGCTTGAAGCATCATCAAATAACCCCTTTGATCCACACAGGATGGGTAAAGGCCCTCATCCAAATGGGCTGTACATTTAGACACACGTGCACACACATGTACATCTACAGTAGAGGTGCACCAAGTCCGCACCAGAGACAGCTGGAGCCAACTCCTTGGCTGTGCACTTGGGCAGATGCACAATGGCCGAAGCTGCTTCATACACGACCATCTCATGCTTGTTCCGCAGGCAGCCTTCGATGAAGTCGAAGAGAGGGCTGTCATGCCTGTCGCCAGAAGACACACAAGCGTACAGTACGTGAACTTCGGTTACCAAAAAAGCCGGGTGGCAACATTACGGTGACATTCTCACTGTAGTAACCCAGCAAACTGAAAGAAAGAAAACCCTCACGGTTTTCTGGTAAATTGTCCAATCATGCCGGATGTAATTACCAGCGAAACTTCGTACTCAGAACTTGTAAATGTTGTGGATTCTCTCTTCAACACACCGATGGGCTAAAGTACAGAACTATTTGTCTTTAGTCAACGTGACAAATTTTTTACTGATTGGCCGTGTCGGGTGGTGGAGGGTTGCGACACATTTATAAAGAACGCGATCTAACCCAAAAACCTTTATATTATGAATATTGGTCGCGAAAGCCTACGTGTTAAGCTCACAGTTTATTTGCCCAATATAAGCTCTGTGAATGTTTAAATTCATGTTAATTGCTGGATTAATTGAGTGAGCAGTGTTAGGTTGTGGTGGGCAGAGATCCCAGAGCTTTGAACCAATCACAAGGTAAGATGCTTCACTCACTGTACCCAATATAAAAATGTTGTCATAATTTCACATCAACTGGGCAAGTGTATTGAAAAAACATCAGCTTGTTCAGACTACAGACGAACATTTTTTACTGAAGTGTCGCTATAACATGTTTCGAGCTGGGTGGCTTTTATATCTGCTGTTGGAAAATGATTGGCGATTCCATGTTTTTTTATCGAGACAAGCAAGACGGTTCGTCAACGCACCAATCAGCCATTAATCTCATCAGTCATGAGAGAACGCCGCCTGACCTGGCTGGGCGACGTATACCACACGACGTCAGAGAAGGGTGCAGCAGGCCTTCATGCGAGTCCCATAAAATGGTGAACAAAGACAAGGACTACGACCGATGAAATGGAACTAAACATTGAAGGATTTAACAGCCATAGGAGTGACAAAAGAAAAACTCTGACTGATGGTACATGATTGTGACAAGTCGACGCATTGGGTAGCTCTGTGTCTGAGACACCGGGTGGATAAGTACCAAGTATGTACAGCAGGGACCGGTCTATCCTTATAACACGACAGATTTCCTGAAAAGTAGCACTCAGCAGGCAATACTTAATTTCAGAAATCCAGAGAGCGTGCTTGCTTGCTTGCGACCGTTATAAAACACTGATGTTACGATATGTTCACAACTCCTCTTGCTCCAGGCCACAGCCGAAAGCCTCCTCACCCGCCATCCTCCTCCTCCAGCAGCTTGCTGGCGATGCGGATGAGCAGGCAGTAGGCGAAGGGGGACTTCATGCCCTGCTTGGTGAACTTGGCGACCATCTTGGAAACGGCGTTGGGGTCATTGCGGCGGATGTGGTAGAGGAGACCGAGCGCGTGATACTGCACCATGACGTTGTCGCTCGATGCCGCCTCCTGCGCTTCATTCACCCAGCGCTTCACCACGTCGAAGCTGCCCTTCATCAGGTGCTGTGCGGACAGAGAGCGCGCGGGCATACAATGGAAGTGTGACCTGAGAGAACCTTGAAAACCCACAAAATGTCATTGTCGATAAACTATATACAAGAGTTAATCAGGGTATTTGGGAACGTATCTGCCTTTACACCAACACTAGTCACAGACTAGAGTGCAATAGTTTCTAACAATAATGACTGAAACATGACTGAGAGAACATCCACCACAATTATGTAGTGATAAAATGCTATCATGTAAAGGTGAAAAGATCAAATATTTACATCACAATTGGCGAAAACTTGGGGAGCGCTTAATCCTACAGTGGGTGGATACATCAATGCTGATAATAATGACTGAAACAAGTCTCTCTGTTGGGGATTCCCAATTATTTTCTGAGAGTTTCTGCTTCAGTCAACTGGAGTGCCTTGGAAAACTCGCACGGATGCGGGAAGAACATGATAAACTCCATTATCGATAGCCTGTCGGCACCCTATTTGCAGTCCTGACCCTGGTAGTGGGTATCTTGTACACATAACTTCAGTGTGATTTTCCAAGCCCACCTCTGTCGAGCCATCACTGCACATCTAAGTGGAACGTTGTATTGCTTATTTTAATGCTGGAATACATATGCCGCACTTGAGATTAATAACTACGTTTTATGTGTCTGAATGCAGCAAACGCATCTTAAGACATTGCACAGAAAGAGTAGGCATGTTTATTTTATAGAGAACGTCAGTCAATTAAACAGAAGCACAGAGTCAACAGCACAGATGTCTGGGAAAGACCTTTCCATACTGAGGGCAGCATAAGAGAAAGAGTAACCTCCCACAGAGTGCAGGGTGAATGAGGGAAGCCTTGGTTGCTGGAGCGGAGAGTGCGTGTATGTGAGCAAACTGAGATGAGAGGTGAGAAGACTGAACCCATGGAGAATCTTGAGAATGTGAAGTACAATCTTGAAATTGATCCAGAATTGGAATGGGAGCTAGTAGAGGAATTCGAGTATAGGTGGTTTGTAGCTCCGTTTGTGTGTGCAAGTAGTTTGCATTGACATTTTGATCTGGAGTAAAAAACAAAAAAATAGATGCTCCGATTTAGATAAATTAGAACAAGCATTTATGTGCACTAACGTACCAGCGATGACACCAGCGCAGAGCTGGATACACTTGGAACCTTGTCCACAATGGCCTGTTTCATGTACCGTTCAATCCCTTGCAGCATGGTTGTCTGTTTAGGAACACAATTACAATTTGTCGTCATCAAACAGCAAGGAAGCATAGATACATCCCTATGTACACAAATGAAACTACAAGTTTACAAATTGAAAAGGAACTAGGATAGCCATTAAAATATAATTAACAGCAGACAAAAACTGAGCTTTTTCAATGCAAACTGCACATGAAATAGTTAAGCTCTTACTACAGCTATTAAAATACAATTTAAAACTTTTAAAATAAACATTTAGATCCACGAACCTTTAGGACTGATGGTTTCCAGCAGCATATGTACAAGTTTACATTTTCTAAATCACATTGGCAGTTGCCTGACGTTATAGGCAAGAGGGCTCAATGAACAGCGCAGGGATCATTCAGCACAGTTCAGCAACAATGTAATACAAATTTTTATTGTGATAACAGTGTACTCACGTCAGTTATCTTGCAAAGCGCGCGGATGGCTGGCCCTCTGTAGAGGTCTTCTTTACCAGTCATATCTTTAGTCAAACTACAAAATAAGAGAACGCATATGTTTCTCAAGAAAATCAAGAACCATTTGTAAAAAAAAAAAGACTTTAAATGATGGTCAGTTACCACATTGGTGCTTCAGTGAACTGACGCATAAAATTGACATCTTTCATAAAATAACAGTTTTTTTTAACTGCCACTAAAAGAAAAGGAAAATATCCATTTCAGCTGACTGGCCTTATTTAGAAAAATAATGATTACAGATAGCGTATATAAACTAAACAATTTATATTTTACCAGGTAAGGCCCACTGAGCTATACAGCTCTTTTTCACAGGTGATCTGGCCACAAATGATAGCTCAACGAATTGCCTTATCATGTAGAAACGTATAGCGGCCAAATACTCTAAACACATGTTTCTAAATGTGGAGGGAAAATGTGGAGGGAAAAACTGGAAGACCCGGAGAAAAAATCCCCACGGGGAGAACATGCAATACAGGGTGCTTCAAAAATTTGTAAAACTTATATTGGACTATCGTTTAAAATGGAAAAAAAACGGACAATACATTGCAACATGATAACAAATGTATGTTAATAGCTTCAAAGAGTCTCCACTTATTCTTAGCTCTTTCGGTAAAGTCACGTTGAAGGGAAACAATAAAATGATAAACTATGTATAAAACAATACAAATTCTCACGTTTCGACCGTAAGAGCTAAGAATATGAATTACTGCAGTCACGAAAGCTTTAAATCAAGAGTCTCCACTTGTTCGCCATCATTGTCAACACGTGGTCTGGAATCTTCTCCAGGTGGTCTCCAGAGCCCGGAGGCACATTTCTCGTGGTATTGTTGAAAATTCCCCGAAGTGTTAACATTTTTTGAAGCACCCTGCATAGCCTCGGTATGCTAAGTTGTTATTGAGTTGTAATTGTGACACTTAGTTTCAAACATTGTTTTCATTAACTGCAACAAACATATATTAATCAAATAACATAATTTATTTTATTTCTATTGTGTTAGCTGAACATTACCTGCTGGTGACGATTATGACATCCTCCGAAATGTTGGCCATCTCTTTAATAGTGAGGTAGCACATCCTTCTTAGCGTTGGCTAGTGAACACAAAAAGAAAATAACTTTCATGCAAATATCAAAAAACAAAACCAGTAAATATTACGTAGGACATTCACACTGCTAATCTGTATGGCAAGGCCCATACAATACTACATAATTGACAACCGTGTTTCATAGTCAACCCTATAAGGTAAAAGGCCTTCTAGATGTGCTTTACAGTAGCATTTTAAGTATGTAAATCGAATCAGTTAAAATGTTGGCAGGATGAGGCCTGTTAGTTTTATGAAACACTTGGCTCTATTTATTTATATGTATATTAGCCAATCAGGCAAGACAGTGCATAATGACTTAATAAAATATATTTGCCAGAAATTACACAAGGGGTTTATAATAATAGCACAAGCACTCCTTCGTTCACTCACGTCGTTGGACTGGAAGAGCTTGGTCATGGCGAAGAACGCCTCTGTCGCTTCAGTGGTTCCCAGGTGCTCTCCCTGGTCAAAACAACGCCGCCATCACATTGGAGCATCCGTCAAAGACACAGCAAGAGCCAAGTCACCCGAAGGGACCGGCTGATGAATGTCGCTTTCCCAATTCAAGTTTTAATTTTTCACTGCCTACTTTCACAGCTGAACTACTTATCAATGCCCATGTCATGGTTCTTCCAAGACATTATAAACTCAGGTCAACTTATTGACACAATGGACTGAACGTCATATTTGGTTGCAGTGTCAACACATACATGTATGAGATGTTGGTTTGAATAGCATATGAATGAACTCACCCGGTTGATGAGGTAAACCACCTTGGTGAGAATGTGAAGACATTTCCGTGGGTTGATTGGAGTTTCATTGAAAAGCCGAGTCTGCAAAAAGGTACAAAGGGACATATTCCCAATCTTAAATCACTGCCTCCATATCACTTTTTTTTCTTGCACCACATCATTTATTTCATTTTCTATGCGATTTTTTTCTTGTTAAGTGTATTTTTTCCCGTTATTAACGTCCTTTTTTTGATTTGCGAAGTAGTGAAGTTTGTTTTTGTATTATCTGTTTGGAACTGGATAATTGATGTGCAGCGATGTGGGATGCAACTGCATGTATGATGCTATATACAATAAAAGTATTATCATCCATACAACAAACATTGAACACGTATTGTTAATAACACATCTCAAGGTATAAACGCAATATACCCTTAAAATAAAGCAGACACCTCAAATAATATATAGATTGGATAATGACCAGTATATGCACAATGGTCTGTTTGGTTCAAAATACACGCAGCTGGTTTGTATATGAACTACACTGACCTCTTGAAGGACAGCACTTTTTTCCAGATTTTGAAACGGGTTGGAGCCACCACCTGAAAACCAAAACGCATGACGTTATAAAGAAGTTGATATAAGAATCTGAAAACTAAAATGCATGACGTTATAATTGGTATGATAATCTGAAAACTAAAATGCATGACGTTATAAAGAAGTTGGTATGACAATCTGAAAACCAAAACGCAGACGTTAAAAAGAAGCTGATATAAGAATCTGAAAACTAAAATGCATGACGTTATAAAGAAATTGGTATGAGAATCTGAAAACCAAAACGCAGACGTTAAAAAGCTGTTTGTATGAGAATCTACATATATTCACGTATTCCATCCACTGGCTTTCCATTGAACAAAGTAATACGACTTTCTGAGGTTAAATGAATGGGCGACTGCTGAGGATGAACAAACAAGATCGTCAGCTGACCCATCTGTCAGAGCCTCCTGGCTTCGCACTCACTCACCTCGGCGGCAGTGGCCGACGACCATAAACCGCATCAGAACACCACATGGACACTTGTGGGTTGGCGTATTCTCATATGGAGGACTCAAGTGTGGAAGGTGGTGAACTTCAAACAATAGAACACCGAGTGAATAGGTGTCCACTGTAGGCTACTCATTCAGAAGAAGCATATTTTAAAATCACTCTGCCTCTCTAAAAGCTCGTTTGACTGGATATTAAAACGTAGCATACGTTGCTTATTCCTTCCCCCACACCTCCAATTAGCACGCCTGGCTACGTACGGTGAGAAGGAAGTTCAACATACATACATGATCACCACTTCTGAGGTCATTTAAATTGCCTCTAATATACAATATACTTTACATTACTCTATTAAAAAAATCACACCTAAACAAATCCGTCATATTATAACAGAGGTTATTCATGCTAAACGCCACCAATTGATGTTTGATTTTCGCACAGTTAGAAATAGCAACGTATTCTTCAGATATAATATGCCAAATTAATAAAACATTTATGAATATGGTCGTGCAGTCATTGGTAACCAGGCTGAGACTATCCACTCGCATCATCCGAGTACATAGTTTAATAATAATCACTGGTGATGAGCACGGTTGGCGAAGTACGGTGCGAAAGAAGCTCAGCGTACATACACGAAACATTCTCAGCTGGTCTCTCAAGACACGGTGCTAACCACCTAGACCCAGCGGGGCCCACATCCTTTCGACTGACGTCTTGATTCCCACCATCAAGGCACAGGAGACATATTCTCTCCGTGTCCCCCCGGTCCCTAACCTCCACCATGGACTTTTAAACCGAATTGAATGTCTGCCCACCCCCCCCCCTTCGCACTGCCCTGAGGTCGATCCACACTGCTCCACGTAGGCCTACTTAGTCCGTGCAAGTCAGGGCGGGCCATTGACAAGTTCACCACGCTGGTCAGCGGGGGTTGGGGTTAGTGCGCGTAGAATATATAGACTTTGTAGCATAGGATGGCACGAGTGATTGTGCACGGCATTTGACCCCCTTCCGAAACGTAGTAATTAAATTATCCGACATCGCAGGTCCACTGCTGGATAAGGCCACCACCCAAGCCGACGCCGCCGCCGCTACCACCACCACTCGCACGATTCCCGCAAGGTAACAATCCACCAAGACGCACACGACCCGCGTTCATCGCTCCGTCTCCTCGACGTCGAGTCCTCTCAAACAACGACAACGACCAATATAACAATTACTATCGAGTTAACATTGTGGTCAATGAGGGCCTACAGCGACACCGGGCTGAAGGCGGCCCTCGACTAGGCTCGGTGGTGGGTGGGTGGGCACGAACTCCCACGCATCGCGAACCCGACTCGTACCGGACTCCTCGTCCTTCTTGTCGAATTTCTTCATCATGGCTACGTCCGGAGCAAGCGATCAATAACAATAACCGTGAGCGCCTGTGCAGCGAGAGTTGACCGTCTGTGGTGACGCGCCCAGGCTACCGCACGCCACCCGCCACCCGTCTGCGTGGCTCCGTCTCCTCCACGGGACGTGTCACTTCTACCCGGCGTGCCCCGCGGGGTGACGTGGACAACGGGACGTCACGGCTGTATCGTGATATTACGGCCGCGATATATCGCGATATTACGGCCGCGATGTATCGCGATATTACGGCCACGATGTATCGCGATATTACGGCCACGATGTATCGCGATATTACAGCCGCAAGAGATATCGCGATATTACGGCCGCGATGTATCGCGATATTACGGCCGCGATATATCGCGATATACGGCCGCGATGTATCGCGATACACGACGATATAGGTACCGCTGTATCGCGATATAGATATGGTGGAATATCGCGGTATATCGCGACACAGCGCTAGATATCGCGATGTGTCGCGATGTCTATATGGCTCGGCTTGTTGCGATATAGATATAAGAACCAGCATATTTATTTGTACTGGAGGAATCCAATGAGCTGTAAAGCTCTTTGTTTCCCACAGATATCCAGTAGGGGCACGGGGCCAGAACGTTACAACAAATACCAAAAAAACACGATAGGAGTTTAAAGTATCGGGGAAGCTAAACAAATCACCGTACAAATGTAGAAATAAAACTAAACTATGTTTTTTTTAACATACCACGTAAAGCCCACCGAGATATTAATTTATTTTTCAGAAGAAGCGACCTGGCAACGAAGTTACGAACGTAAGATATATATCGTGATATAATAATACTTTTGTTATGCTATAGCGTCATTCACGCCAATGGCATCCCACAACACTGTACATTCATTATATGTATAAAGTAAGGACCAAATCTCCATATACACCTACTGCCAAGAAAATTAAAACCATTACTCAGTTTAACACGTAGGCTTTCGCGACCAATATCATCAGTAATACAGGTTTTTTTTTTTGGGGGGGGGGGGTTGAATCACGTGAACCCCCCCCCCCCAAAAAAAACCATTATAACCAAGCAAAATAAAAAAATATATGGAAAGTGCACCTAGTATGGCACAAGCGACGTAGTTGCGACTTTGGGCTGTGTGTGTCGCCAGCTGAAGCAGAGATTGCGGTGTGCGTGCAAGTGTCAGCTTGAGCTTGATGGGGGATGTTAGAGTTTGACAGGTTGGTATAGCTCAGTGGGCTTTATCTAGTTAAAAAAAATTGTTTTAACCTTTTAAAGTGATGTGCTTACTTTTCCTATAGTTTGCACTCCTGTTGTGTTTTTGTATTGTTTACTGTTACGACGTTCTGGCCTCGTGCCCCTTCCTCCTGGATATCTGCGAGAGAAAAGAGCTTCACAGCTCATCGGATTCCTCCTGGGGTCTAAATAAAGATTTTGAAGGCGGGTGTGTGACAACGCGAACACGCGAACGGCGGCATTGCTGGAAATCATATTGACTAATAGAGGGGGCTGATTCAAATATGTTGTTCTTTTTAAAAAATATTCTTAATCAATATGTGCAGGCAGACCGGAGTTGTGTTTGTACACGCGTTTAGCAATCGGCCGTCCATAAATGACGTCACGCGATTTTGGAAGATTTTTGACCCCCCCTCCTTCGTCACACGGCGTCACAAAAAGTCAGACCCCCCCCCCTCAAATATGACGTCACAAAGCTCTGCCCCCCCCCAAATAAAACATGTTTAAATCGCTTTAGACTATAGTATTGTATTTGTAGTGCGTAGTTAATGTGACGCTGCATGCTGATGTAGGAGAAAACATTTATTAAAAAAGTATATTTAATTAAGTAGAACGTGTAATCTATATTTATTTAAAGTTGCGCATTTTGATGTGACGTCACATTTCTCAAACACCTCCCCCCCCCCATTGTCACAAATGTCTGACCCCCCCCCCCCAGGTTTGTGACGTCATTTATGGACGGCCCCAATAAAGCTGCAATGGAGTGTTCTTTACTAATTTTCAGAGTTGGGGGGTGGGGGGGTTGGGGAGGAGGGACCAATTTATCCGATGAGACAATCATTTGTGTTTGACAGCACGATGGTGATGATGGGGTGTTTTCACTTTTGTCTATTGTTGGGGGAGGGGGGGGGCACTTCAGGGGCCTCGCTAAAGGCCACGAGGGGCCACTAGGGACCGACCATCGGCCAGTGGCCCGCGGGCCTTGCAATGAAGAAACATGATCCACGGCAAGGGATGAGCGTGAATGCGATGATTCTATGACTCTGTATCTCTACCTGCGCCGAACTTTATTCTGGTAACTCTTGCTCTCACATTGCTTCCACCCTTTGAACTTTTTTTTGTGGTCAGAATTATTTGCATTCTCACAAGCACTGTGGTTAATGCAGACGTGATTCCTCGTAAAAGGTTTCAGTTTGGTGTTGTAACATATTAACACCTTGTTTTGGTGCCAGAAAAAAAAGGGGAAAATCCTGTTATCATATTTTGATACTGGCAAAGGAGATCCCATGATGATTTAGTGATGTCTTCTTGGTTCTTTCGGTAAAGTCACGTAGAATGGAAATACAATAATAAAAATAAAACATAATAATAAAGTCACGTAGAATGGAAGTAAAATAATAAAACATAATAAAATGATTATTTTATTTTAATTAATTTACATTCTACGTGACTTTACCGAAAGAACCGAGATGAATCCCTGCAGTCACGAAAGCTTTAAATCGATGTAGTTATGATTCTGATAAACTCAACCCCTACTCGAGATGGCGGCTCGAGGCCTCGACCCTGTCGACATCCCCTATAAGATCCTATAGATCCTATTGCTTTGTTTACCTACCTAAGATGACGGCTCGTACCACCACCAAGACAAAGATTCCCTGGGTAGCCTTAACAGACTGTTGGGGATTCCTATTCTTGGTTCTCTCGGTAAAGTCACGTAGAAGGGAAATTAAAAAAAAATCTCACGACGTTTCGATTGCAACACAAGCAATCATCATCAGGTGTTGGGGTTTAGTGCTGTTAGCGAGCAGCACCTGTGAAGGTCCCGGAACGACACACGAGGGGGGTGGGTGGCCAGCACCACGCACGCCCGGCCGCCTTTGTCTCCCCAGTGGCGATGTTTACTACACACCGCACCAGGTACTCGTTTGAGGCTGAGTCGACCTAGGGGAGGCCCAGAACCGGTTCTGATCATCGTCACCGGTGTTGGCCGCGAGCGGGAATCGAACTCGGGTCGCCGGGTTCGTAGCGCGGCACAGCGCGCTAATCGCTGCACCACCGCTCCCCACCACCACACCAACACTCGCCATTCGCCACTAGCCTGTGCCAGGCTAGGTGCACTTTGAGGCCACGTGAAGCGTCGAATAGCTCGCCGACAGGAGGTCTCGGGGACAGACCCAGCAGATGCCAATGGACGGGCCGACTGAGATGACCGGCAGATGCACCACCAGCTGTAACACCCCCACCCCACCCCCTACTGTGCCAACTCGCTGCGTTTTAGCCGCCCGGCGCTCCGCACGTTGTTGTGAGCGTCGCTCCGTTGTTGCTGGAGGGCGACTGCCTCCGATCGCCCAGCCAGCAGCCAGCAGCAGCGGCGGCGGCGGCGTCCTTCACGAACACTCCACCACCAACACCACCACCGCCCCATCGAACATCAACGTCCCTGACACTCGACCCCTACGTAACATGGCGGCACTGATCTCCAGAAACGCGTTTTTTTATTTACGCTTTTTAATCCCCCCCCCACGCCGCCCGCCGTGAGAGCGCGCGGGCCACCGTAACCACGGTCACGGCTTCAAGAGGTGGTGGGTGGAGAGGAAGTTCCTCGCCTCCCGGAGCGCGGGGATGTGAACGTGAGTCCCTCAGGGGGGGAGGAGGGGGAGGGGTTCTTAATGTCATTTTCATTAAGATTAAAAACAAATCGAGTTTGTAACGAGGCCCCCTGGGTTCTCCTGGCCACCACTACCGCCGCCGCCGCCGCTCTATAACATCTTCGGCGCGTCTCCGTCCCGTTCGCTTTGTCGCGGCGTTCAAATGGGGCCGGCAGAATTGGCGACCCTTCGCGCGCGTGGTGTGGTGTGTGTTGTTGTTGGCGTTGTGTGTGTGTGTTTGTTGTGTTGGTGTTCGTTTTGCCTCGTGGGGGGGGGGCTGAGGTGGTGGTGGTGGTCCTAGGTTTGTATTATTTGGCTTCAGTCGGCAGGCGAGTATCGATTTCCTATATTCGTCCTGGCGCAAGGCGGTTGTTGACCATTGATGAACGTAGCGCGCCGTGTCGGAGCGCTTCGCATACCGAGGAGATTGAGAGATTTAATCGGCTTGCGTGCAGTGCGCTGGGTGCGGAAATTGTGTTTTTGCTTTCCAGGGTCACGGCGGATCGAGGTGGCCTTCCCAGCAACGAGTGGATTTACCGTGGTTAATGATGATGATGATGAGAAACAACCCTTTGTTAATCCACTGCTAGATGAAGGCCCCCCACACACACATACACGCACACCCCGTTGTCAGTCGTGACGGTTGTTTCGCCATACTTCACCACGCTGGTCAGTGCGGGTTGGTGAATTGGGGCGTCCAGAACCACCATTAATCACGCGCCAATCAATAAAGAATGTTCATGTTTTCGTTCGGCTAATTAAACGAACGAGATAAAAAAAAACAAATTAGACCACGCAACTAAGAATATTCTGCAATCGAGTGACACTAAGAATCGATTCGCCGAGTTTCAATGATTGATCTCTGCTGGTTAGGCCGCCCTATCTGCTACGCTATAGGTGACGCGATTGTTTTGGGTGGTTAGCTGTTCGCTGTGAGCCCACAGACTGTCACCTGAAATTACGAATTGACGAACAGGAGCGTGAAATTATTGCCTCGTTTGTCACAGGTCCAAATTCACAAGCCTTGTCTGCACCTTCCACTGGAGATGTGATGGGTTGGTTAATGCGTTGGGACGAGAGGTCATTGTGAACATGAATGTGGCATTTTTTGCGGGGTTAATGTAGCGGGGAGCGGACTCCTTGAAACGCAACGTTTATTTTGCAAAGGCCGACACGGGTAAACTCTTTTTTTTACTCTCATTGGTAATCAAAACGCACGGGCTTTTGAGTCACTAAATCGCTATGTTCCCCTGCACGTGTCATGCATTTGAAATGTGTCAAGGCGCATTACTGTGGTATTCGTGTCCACGTTAGAGGCAGTGGTAAACCATGCAGCGCAGCAGTTGATTCATAAATTGTTCTGTTTGGGTCAGATTGCCTTAATCAAATGTGTGGCATACTCGCCTCCAGCCAGCAGACAGCCAATTAATTAAGTTGTGACGTAAACAAATGTGGAATTTTATCACTGCTTCAGTGGTTCGAGCTTTGCTTAGGTAAAGCACATGCGGTTATATTAAACATAAATACTAGACTGTACTATTAATTTCTATGACCAAATCACCCTTAATGCGCCCGATCTAGTGAGATATCAAAAGCTAAGGTGAATTTAGCCTGAAATTAGTTGTGTGGGTGATTTCAATGCATAACCTGTGATATAGGCTGTGTGGTTATGCGGTGGGCAGCAGAGGGTAGTGTAGCAAAACACATTATTTTACTTTACTGTGATTCCATCATCTGTGCTCTTCACCTCACCCGTGGTAAAGTGCTTTATGGTAAGGTAACCACCACCATCCCGCACGGCATGGGGGTAAGGCCCTCATCCTGGAGTGGATTGACAAAAAGGCTGAAGATTGTGAATCTGATAAACATGCCTTTGTTTTTGTGCCACGTAAAATAGGCTTCATGACCACAAAACATGTCTGGCTTGTACCTTAGATTAAGGCCAGTAGTAGGTTGTATAACTGTCAAGCGGACATTTCACTTCATTTACACAGATTCATAATAGGAAGAGTTTTCAGTTTAACACGTATGCTTTCGTGACCAACATTATCCATGAGAGGTTTTTGGGTTTGCTCGCGTAAGTGTGAATGCGTCGTTAAAACCCGACACATTTGCGGGTTTAACGACATTTATATTTAAGCGATCTAACCCAAAAACCTCTTTGAGGAAGAATTATCTCAATGATTTTACCCAATAAAGCCTCGCTCAGTCTTGAAACATTTAGGACGATTCTGCACTTGCATGTTTGGCCAATCCCACTTAAGAGAGGGGCTTCATCATTTGAGATGAAACCGGAGGATACCCATCACACATGAGGAGGTTACACTTATCACTGCCATCTCATGGCCACACCTCAGAGCCCCATGCCTATAACAGCTTGCAAGCCCTTGTGGTCACCCATCTAAGTAATAATCGGACTAAATCCTACTTTGCTTTTGTTATTTGGTCTCATTCAGAGTTATTTGGTCATATCATAATAAATGGAAGAACATATGTTTTTTGGCCAGTGGCCACTGCGCTTGTGCATGTGTGTGTTTATTTTAGATTTTACGGACAAAGCTTTTGTCGGACTGATTGAACATATTTATTTAGGCTTTGTTGATAAAATGTGAAACGCTTTTATTCTACATACAGTGTGCAAATAAAAGTTGCTGGACAAATGCCACGTTTAGGTACGCGAGCAAGTGTCACCCTTTCGGCAAATTTGGGAGCATAGAAAAATACTCATCACATGCTGTAGCAACACAACGCTGGTAACGTTTGCCTTTTTTTTAATTCCTTCCTATTAAGTTCTAAGTCTTGTATTTTGTCGACATGGAAATTTCTACAGAGCATTGTGACATAGCCATCATTTGCCACTTGTAAATGGCTCTCAGTCGGTGTAATTGAAGATTAACTTGTATTGGTATGAACCTCATGGTTACACCAGCCCACGGGATTATTGTGTCCATCCGTCGTGCATCCAAAAATGGGAGGGGTGGGGCTGGGTGGGGAGGGTGGGGAGGGTGGGGCTGGATGGGGAGGGGCTGGGTGGGGGGTGGGGCTGGGTGGGGAGGGGCTGGTCACCCCGTGGTGCCCTTATAAAACTCAACGTTTAACCTACTCACGCCGGCTTGTGCCCGCCCTCACAGTCGGGCATATTGTGCGGAATACACCACGCCGCCGTTGACCCTGGCCATTGACTGAGCAACCCAACGTTCCTACCAGCTCCCTCCGCAGGAATGTATTTTAAATTGCTTAAGCTATACACAGGGGCGCTCTCCAGTGGTTACAGTTTTATCGCAGCCCAAGACGAAGTCTTTTTTTTCTCTGTACGAGACGGTCACTGCCTAGACAGCTAACGTCAACATCCATCCACCTTCTGATGCCAACCCAGCAGATCCCTCTTGGCAATCACCCCTTGCGAGCTCTCTTCCCCATTCATGGCTGTTGATAGTAACTGTAAATTTACTGCAAAATGGAGGCCAGGAGCCTTCTCTGCCATTAGAAATTATGTTAACTGCGTTTGTTACAAGGATAACTCTACAGTTAAACATTCTTTCTTGCCCATTAACATTTCACTGTTGGGCAAAGGTCCCCCTCGATGTCTCTGCATCATCTCTTGCCGCCTTCATCCAGTGCACTCTTCCAAATCTACTAATCTCATCCTGTCATCCCGTCTGTCCATCTCTTTTTCTCTTTCCCTCCATCCGACTCTATTGTTTTGATAATCTTGGCCATCTTCTGATGTCTGAGCTAGATGTCTGAGCTAGATGGCCTACTCAACTCCGTTTAATAATTTTTGTTTATTGTATATGACATCTATTTATCCTAATTTTAATTCTGTAATCTTCATTTCAAATTATTTTCCTTTCCTTTTACAAAAAAAATCCTCCTTTTCATTGCTCTTTTGCATGCTTGTAATATTTTTGTTCGTTGGCCACCAGGACCCGGTTTGTACCCTGTTTTCAGATTATAGTTAACTCTATATTATCTCTTGCCATTTTATCTAAGTTGCAGATTGACCGTGCTTGTAAAATATATATACATAATATCGTACACAATCATGAACTGGTTTAATTATTAGCTGCTCCTCACTTGTTGTGGGTCAGAGGATTAGTGGCCATCGGAAAGAAAACCTTTGTTTTTGTTTCATCCCGGCTACTCCTTCCCCTTATTACCTTGGATAATTGAGTTTTGACTGCACTTTCGTACCACCACCCTTTGACAGTTAAGCAACAGACATAGCCAACAGCTCCACTGCTGACGAAAATCATTCCTTGTTTTTGCTCCCGGCCACCCCCCACCACAGCTGTACGCGTTAGCACCGGGGGAGCACGTCGCAAGCGGGCGGCGCTTGCATGCGTGCGCGATGTCCACCGGGGAGATGGAGGAGCCGGCGGACGAGCAGATCAGCCTGTCGACGGGGAAGCAGCTGTCGGACCTGCTGCGCGAGCTGAGTGCCTTGTGGCTGCGCGGTTCCTTCTGCGACGCCGTCGTGGAGGTGCAGAGCCGGCGCTACCTCGCGCACAAGGCCGTGCTGAGCAGCACCTGCACCTACTTCCGCGGCATCTTCCTTGACACGCCCTGCAGCAACATGGGGCCCTTCGTGGTGGACTTCCTCACGGAGAAGACCTTCGACCAGGTCCTAGACTTCGTCTACAAGGGCAATGTGAGTGTCGGACGGGAGGACCTCCGCGAGCTGCTCAAAGCTGCCCAGAGCTTGGGCATCGAGTGCCTGGAGGAGGTGTGCCGAGTGTTCGTCACGGACGACGTGGAAGACTGCTTTCCGGACAAGGACACTGATGCAACGTACATCTCGGAGAGTGGGCAGTACGACTGCGTCGAGGAAGGCGAAGACACCCCGGGGTGCAGCTACAACTCCTTCGGGCAGTGCAACGGGGAGGACAGCAAGAGCCCCCCGCCTGCCAAGCAGGCCACGCAGTCCTCGAGCGAGGAGGACCTGCCCCAGTTTGTGGCGCTCGACAAGGAGATCACGAGCAATACGGAACCATTCCCGGACCTCTGCCTGGTGAAGACGGAGATGCCGGACGGCGGCCAGCAGTGCTCGTTCGCGCTGTCCGACGAGAACACTCCGCAGTCCGAGTTGCAGCTCGATGACCAGAGCCTGGAGATCCTGCAGAGCGGACAGAGCTCCAACAACTTCCTGCGCGCCATGGAGAAGACTCTGAACATGATCCCGCTGGCCGGCAGTACGCAGCAGCAGCAGCAGCAGTGCGACCTCCTCAACGGTAACGCAGCACCAACCACCACCGCGCTGGTCTCAAACGGGCAGCTGCGGTGCCAGGCGTGCGGCGAGCACGTCGAGGAGAGCGTGTCGTGCCTGCGCGAGCACTCATGCGGGCACCTCGACATGGAGACGCTGGCGTGCCGCGTGTGCGGCGCCATGTTCAGCCACATCAGCGTGGCGGTGGAGCACACGCTGGCGCACACAGGCGTGGCGCTGTCCGCCTGCAAGCACTGCGGCAAAAAGTTCCTGTCGGAGAAGAGCCTCGCGCTGCACTACAAAAGTCACTGCCGCCGCCGCAGGCCGCAAATCAAAGGCGGGCGACTGTCGTGGCATCCAGACCCCGATGCGCAGGAGTCTACGGAGAGCGCGCCATGCCAGGTAAGTGTTCCGCGATAAGGCTTACAAGCGTCGTGGTTTGGCTGGATTTTTTTTTATCCTTCACAAACATTTTTTAAAATTTATTTATAAAGTTATCTCTGTCCGATAATTTTTTTTTTCCTCCCGTTACTTCACGACGTTATCACTCAAACGACAAATGTAACCCCGTTCCGGCGCCACTTCTTCCCCCCCCCCCCACCCGCACCGTACATGTGGCAGGTGTGCGGCGTGGCCGTGCAGAAGAAGATGGCTGCGTTGTGGAACCACGCGCGATTGCACGTGGATTCGGAGCTCCTGTCGTGTCGCGTGTGCGGCCTGCAATCGACGCGGCGCAACCTCGTCAAGCACGGCCTCATCCACCTGGGCGTTTTCCTCTTCACGTGCGACGCCTGCCGCAAGCGCTTTCTCTTCCGCAACCAGCTGCTTCGCCACCAGAAGGAGCGCTGTCGTGGACAGGGAGAACCGCCCCTGCCCGGCATGCTCTCACCCTCCGCGCAATTGCCGCTCGACGCCGCCTGTGTTTAACGGCGCGCGATGCACGAGGTCGCCTTTACGGACAGTCGTTGCCGGCAACCCCATCACCGGCAATCGCGGTAAACCGTGAGCGCCCGTGGCACCTCGGTCGGAAATGACAATAATCTGCCCACTCGGCCATCGCTTCGTGGAGTCCACTGTTACAATCGCCCAGTACAAAACGGGACAACGTAAGCTTTGCGTAGCGGAAAATCTGTCGCAAGGCCATCTCATTCATTCTCATTGCACTGATGTACTGACATGAAGCCGCCAGCTCTCAAATGGGTAGGGCTTGCGGCCAGGCAGCCTCTTGATTTATGCAACCCGATTGGAAGTTGCTGTCCCAGTTGCTCACTCGCAGCAGCTGTGGTCAGACTTGTTCAGATCGTGGGCAACGACATTTTTACAATATGAAATGCCGCGAAAACTAACACCGGTGACAATTGCCAACGATGATTGGCATAAAATTGCCCAAGTGGATGATAGCATTGAGTGGACAACATGAACTGGGGCATGATTTAGGCTCAACCGTTGCTGGCATTGCATTTATCACAAGCAACAACGAGACGCTTGTTGGAACAGTGCTTGGTCTACAAAGCACACAATTTTTGGTGGTCACGTTACCTCTGTGATCTGATTTGAAGTCATTCTCCTAGTTTCCCACTAGGGGGAACAGTGTTTTTTTTTATAATTGGGCAACTAATCTTTTTTTTCCCCAACATAAAATGGTGCAGAAACTATTACCAGCGAGGGTTGCCAGCAACGATTGCCCTAAAATTGCCGCAGTATACAATGACCATTCGGGATCCGACCCTAATCGACCCTGCGCGTTGCTCCTCTGACGGCTCACCAACCATAATCTACAGACCCTGAACCCACCCGTTTGACACTTCGACCGTGGCGGCTGTCGGATGGCGATTTGCAATAAACGACAGCAGCACTGCTTCTCCCCGTGTGGCTCTTCAATCGTAGAAGTAGATTTTTCCAAGACAGCCTTTGGAGTGACTGGAATTTCACAAAAAATGTATTATATTTGGCTTGTTAATTTTTCTCTGATTGGCAATAGCTGGTTGGTGCGATCATTGCACATTAGCACTGTTGTGTTAGATGCTTGGAAATATGGGTGGTTTTGATTTTTAATACACATTGTATTTATACGGGATATTACGCAAGGTTGCGCAATGTTTATTTAATGCGTTGGTTACAATTTTCTCTTGTTTTTCGCTATCGTCTGATTTTTGAGCACGAAAAGTGATTGTAGTGTGACGGACGATCATCCACGGCAGAAACAGGGTATCACCACCGCTTTTCAGGCAATGGTTCACCCTGCAGCTCATTGTTTTATATTAACCATGGAGTACCAACTCTTTGTAGGGGCAAGACATGTTTATAATGAGAAATTACCCCTCCCAAGCCCATAAAATTAACTCTCATTGGTTTGTCTCATTGGTTTGTTATGAGTAAGAATATAATATGAAGCCAAATGTTCACAACCATTGTGTTAAGCTTCAGAGAATCTAAGAGTTGATGCAACACCCAATGTTGTTAGCCACTGGGTGCTTCCAGGGTATAAATGTTTAGCGTGCGTCTCTTAACAGTTACGTGTTAACTTGTTTAATTTATATGTGTATATATTGTGTGTGGATGAATGCAGAACATGTACAAGAATGTAAGAGTGGCTGACGTGAAATGTTGGGCTTCTATGGTTCCGCGCGTAAGTGAGATGTGCATTTCTATACGAGACGGTCACTGTGGTTTCAATATGAATCGGAACAGGTATGAAGGACACTGCATTATTGCAATTTTCCTGTTCTTGGCTAGAGTCCAACGTGTGGCAAAAATCGACGCGAAGGGATCATTGCTGTCGCTACGCCCATGCTTAATGGACTTGAACAATACATAGGTGCTAGAGCATAGGATATATAAACACAAGACAAACCTCAGTCGATCAGTTGCCAAATGAACTGGACCGCTATGATCGCACAGAATGTCATAACACAACGTTAATTTGCAGGGGCTAAAGACTAGATTTAGGCAGCTTGTGACCACTCAAATTAAAATGGCACCTACATTCTGTGGAGCAGTTTGTCGATGACCAATCAATTTACATGAAAATTCAGCAACTCGCGCATAGCATGTACCGTATTGTGGTGGGGGGCTCCCGAAGTTAGAATTGATAAATACTGCTCGGCGGCCTGAGTCCCGGCGACAGCAAACATCGGTGGCGAGTGATATCTGAACTGGTCCTGGGCTCCCACACCTCAACCCCTTCTCCATCCAGCACAAACACACCACTGTGGCGAAGTTTGGTCAAACAACCTCCACGATTGACATGGGGTGGTAAGACCCTCATCCATCTGCAGATTGACAAAGGGCTGTTGTTAAAGTAATTAATGTAGATTTATTGTAGACATGCACTGCTTTATTTTGGCTTCTGTACCAGAAGCTCGCTCAGTTTTATCAGTTAAGTGAATTGCGAGCTCCTCATTTCAGCAGTTTTCAGTGATAACGTTCGCTAATGTTGTGACGTGGAGTATATTTCTTTGTGCATGCATGTATTTGTTTCCCCCGTGGGACACGAGTTACAACGTCAGGAGCAGCATTGCATGTGTCGCCCAGCACTAAGCATTGGAACTTTGGTCCATTCTCATTCCATCAACCTGGTTTTGTAGTTGAACTCCACCTGATTGTGTGCCAGGCTAAGACAGGTGTATCGATGATGAATTGCTAAACCGAACACTTAATGCGTGTTCAAGGGAAATGTGGATTCGATCGATTTGAATAATATTTTTCCACAATAGAATGACTGTCAGCGTACATTTTAACGTGTTTTGACTTTCAAAGCGGAGCATTGTATTCCGGTCGCTGTGCAAATTGTGATTATGTAACAAATATTTCAAATTGTTTTAATTTAATGGATTTCACAAAGCTTTGTCCATTGCGTTGTATTCGAACTTGTTATAGTGTTATTTTTCATCTTCTGAAGCACTGGTGGATGCATTCACTGTTTATACCATTGTTTTAAACATGTATTTTGTCTTTTGAAAACTGTTATGGGTACACTTATTGAAATAATATATATGTGTGTTTGTATGTATGTAACAAAAATATATTTTTGACAATGCGTGACATACGTTTTAAATTATAATATTGAAGTGAAAGAAACTTACACAAGCAACGTTTTATGTCAACTAGAACTGGACGATTCTCATAATTCCTATCCTGGAATCGGGTTTTTTTAATCTAAAGAACCTCAGATCAGATTCCTACGGAATTGTGGGACCAATGGAATTGTTGAGTCGTGTTGTGCAGAGCCTTGGCTTGGCTGGCCTCATGGCTCACCATTGAAACTTACGGCTGATACCTTGTAATATGTTTCAATGGTGATACCAGCCTTGGCTAAGCTAAGCATAGCCAAATCTTAGCCTAGCTAGATTTGCAGTAGGATCCCTTTCAATTTGAACGATTCTTCCATTGCAGAATCAATCCCTGTTCGAATCCCATTCAACATTTTACGGAGATTTTGTTTTTTCATGGGAAGCTCGCATTACACAATCACTTCCTGTCAGAATCGTCCATGGGTGAAATCATAGGAATAGTTTATGATTGCTCCAGAACCGCTCAGTTCTAATGTTGACGTAAATGTAAATGAAGTTAAGTACATGCGTAGCATACGTTTATGGAATACTGTATTGTATTTAAAACGGAGTGTTGTTTCTGACCAAACGAGTTTTTTTTAAGTCTATAGGCATAGCTGTGGGATACTTGCATAAATCAGCGACATTTGACAAAAAAAAACCGGTATTCAGTACTTGATGTATAAAGTTGAGTTGCAGAGCAACTGAGAAGCGTTAAGTTAATTTACGAGTTCATTCGTATTTACTTGCAGTGTTGTGGTCGAGCGGTCTCCATTATCGCTATTTATAAATTTACCCAAAGCACACACGTTGATGCCTATAAACAGCGAACACGAGAACGCTTGACACGAGAGAAATTGTTGCACTGCAAAATGTACAAAATGCCCTTGTGTTAAAATTGTTATTGATGCACAAGCGCATTGGTCTGTGGTGTTTTTTTAAATATATATAACGCATACAATTTGGTTGTTGTGGTTTTGTCTGTACCGTCGAATATAACGAATAATGGTGGCATTTATTGTAAATCCTCCATTTATGGGAACACAAGAGGGCGTTTGGCATTGACATCTCGTCCACACACTGCGGCTGTTGTATATAACCAATGTCCACAAATACAACCATTCTCAAACCTGTGAAAACCATAGCAAGAAAATTTGTAAAAAGTGGTGTTTTTTTTTTACGTTAGCACCACGGAAAGCGATTTGGCAGTTATTCAGATGGACGAGTCCATCTATGTTTGGAAAAAATGAGGGGGGGGAGACGAAAATAATGGATGTGGTCTGAAAGCCACCATAAGCGTGACTTTACCGAAATAACCAAGAATATACATTCTCAAACCATGCACAATGACATCTGTGTTAACGTTTTCCAGAAAAGAAATATTTGTTGTGATTAAGAAACTGTGGTATTCATAATAAAACTGGATTTTTTTGGACTCTACTTGTGTGGTTGAATGGATTTCTGAGTTTCACCTGGCTAACAAAACGGCATCGTTGTTTTTGTGTTTTGTCTCTATCCTCAATTGCATATCCCGATTGTGCTATCAGTGACACGTCAAGAGATGACGAATCTCATTGGGATCTTTCGAAAGCGACCTCCCTTCATGTTAGAGAACAGCCCATGGACGTGGATACCACAAAGCTACCTCTGGGATCCCTTCAAGTGACATGTGGTCCCTACACCAGTGGGAAGTACGTTCCCAATTGTTAATGTATCTCTGCGCGTACCCTGATCAACTTGTTTCTGTTCTTTCTCTCTGGGACTAATTCCATCCGGCCACAAGTTCACGCTTCGTGCAACTTTTCGCGTTCAATTTCCTTTTGGCGAGATTTTAATGTTTCGAATGCGTGTCATGGCAGGGTTATATACACTGATAATTAAAAAAAATACTTACATCTTTAGGCACGTTGGTACGGTTGCACTTTTAGTATGTTCTACAGAAAGTGATAGAAAAACGTAATAAGGAAAACTGGAAAGTTGGACTTGAGGTAAATTTGATTAAGGTAAAAGTCACATACAGAACACTGTATTAAACAATTGAAGATATCCGTTTTACACGTTGGCTTTCGCGACCAATATCGATCTTTTTTTTTGGGTGAGATCGCGTAAATATAAATGTGTCGTTAAACCCGCCATAGCCAGATAGTAAGGTTTGTCACGTAAACCAGGACATGCCAATTCGTTACTAATACAGCACACCGGTGTGTTGGAGAGCAAATCTACAACATTTACAATTTAAATATTCTTTGGTTCTTTCAGTAAAATCACGTAGGTAGAAAAATAATAAAAACAAAAACCACTAATGTAGACTGTAGCAATGGTTATTAAGCTGGGTGAGTGTACTGGCAGTTTATAATGTAGACTAGCCTTTAAGCTAATGAGCGTATTGGCAGTTTATGATGTAGACTGTAGCAATGGTTATTAAACTGAGTGAGCGTACTGGCAGTCTATAATGTAGACTGTAGCCTGGTTCTAACCTGAATAAAATAAAAACAAAAACCACGTTTCGATCGCAACACAAGCGGTCGTCATCAGGAAAAATGGGGGTTAGCCTCTAAAGGCAAACTGCTTATAAAGGTTTAGAGATGGGCGTAGCCCAAGTGCGTCAGCAGCATGGGCGGGGCAGCTAATGTTAATGTAGGACACAACTAAGCAGTTAGTGGGTCTCCACCAAAAGGGCCTCCAGGCAATCATTGCACCTTACTCCACACACCCACACCGCTGACGGTGGAGGTTGACAAAAAAACACAAATCAAGTAATGACTCAAAGTGGTTGATGACATCTTTCCAATGATTGCTGAGTTTATAACCATCCTCTCGGTTGAAATTGTGTCTGTAGAAATGGATGGCTTCATTTTTATTCACTTTATTTTTATTTATTTTTACTATTATTTTTCTATCTACGTGGCTTTACCGAAAGACCCAAAGAATGTTTGTAAACCTGTTGGATCAACGTTGTACCTCCACATCTGGGGAGGGGGGGGACTTTCTATAACTTTTTGATTGATGCCTTCCGAAAGGCTCTCATCGTTTTAGTTGACGGACAAACGGAACGCCGGGCTTTTATAATAATAGATTCTCACATCGATTAAATGCGTGTATAGTGTTGTAAAGACGAGTAGACTTCTTAGGAGGCACACTCTGTTTATTGTACTATTTCCTTATACAATCCTTAACACACACAGAGGGATATACAGTCCCCTCACCTGATACCCTAGGGAGGTACAGCCTTCTAGCTTGGCGGGACTTGCACGTCTACCGCTAACCTCCTTGATACCTAAGGAGGTACAGCCTCCGGACTTGGCGGGACTTACACGTCTACTGCTATCCTAGCCTAGAGTCCTCCGGCTAGGACCTAGGGGAGGCTATCTGACCCACCGCTGGCCCGGTGGGTCCTGACCACTGGACGTGCCGAGCCTTAGCCCTCAAAAGGGCTGGAAGGCTAGTCCAGGGTCCTAGCTAGTCTTCAGCCTGGGCTTCCGTCTTCGTGTAAAGAGAGACCTCCTCTCGCTCTGTTGGGTCACCCTTCTTATACTCGTTCGTGGCCAGGTAGAACCAATCCCACATTCCCACGTGGAACAGTCTGATTGGTTCTTACCAAACCGTGGCTACGATCCACTTCACTTCGTCTGACCCCAACCGTTGTACCCAGAGGTAACGCTGCACTGCCCTGGTGGCAATGCAGGTTACCCAACAGTGCGTAGTTAACGCCTCTACACGTGTATCGTGAGCTTGATAAATACATTGAAATTTAATCGATTAATCTTTTAACCGCTACTGTGTAGTAGTTGCTTAAAGAGTAGTCTTAATGGCCTTTAGCTCCGTTTCTCTAGAAATAAATTATATATACGAGTGCATTAGTTACGAGTGCTTTTTATTGTTGTTATTTGTGCCCTATGCACCACTGTGCAAACACAGCAGCATCACCAGACAATTAGTTTTGAAGGTAATCACCGTACATTGTGGTTCTAGATGTCTTGTGACCCCCCCCTCTCCCCCATTTAATTCCTTAAAACGTAAAATACAGGTCGCTTCAAAAAATGTTAACACTGCCGAGATGCAACAACACCACGTGACATGTGCTGCTGCCTCCAGGCTCTGCAGACCACCTGGAGAAGATTCCAGGCATTGTGTTGACAACGATGGCGAACAAGTGGCGACTCTTCGACTTTTTCAAGCTGTTAACGTACATATGTTATCATCTTGCAGTGTATCATCCATTCTTTTTCCATTAAAAACGATAGTCACATGTGAGTGTTGATGTATTTTTTTTAAAAACACCCGTGAATATATTTTCTGTGTGTACCAATGGACGTGAAAGCAGAAACGAATAAGCAAATGTGAGGATTTCCCTCTTTCCTATTGAAGACCATCGCTTGTGTTGTGATCTAAACGTCGTGGTTTTTGTTTTTTTATTTAGATTTGTCTCTTTTTTATTACTGAAATAAATTGGTAATGATGTTTATTTTATTATTTATAATCACTTTATTTTTTTCGTGACTTTACCGAAAAAAACAAAGAATATAAACGTTAGGAGGGAGGGGGGGCATTTAAAAAACGCCGTTCCTCTTTGTTGTCATTTAAGGGCGCGCGGCTTGCCGTAGGTGGCCCGTGACGTCACCAGCCAAGAGGCAGGAAGATTGCGGGCAGAGGCACCGCCACCACCACCACACGCGTGTCGGTGGGTGAAGTCTTCGTCGTCGTCGTTGTTGTTGCCGTACCTAAGCCGCCTAGAATTGTTTCTGTTAACGGTTCGGCTTTCATCGAATCCGCGCGCTCGTTTTACCCTCCCTCGTAGAGACGTCACCCCGCAGCACAAGCCGGGGCTCGGGGCCGTCTTTGTTAAAGTGGGGACCAATTTCGTCTCTGCTGCTGCTACTGCTGCCGCTACTTTTGTGGTGGTGGTGGGAGTTGCCTCGCGTGCCGCCTGGGTTCCGTTAGGCCAGGAAACCTCCACTGTTGCAGTGTCAACGTCTCACGCTCTCGTGCATTGTATATATGTGTGTGTGGCTCACGCATTGTGTACGAAATCTGACGCATTCTGTGAGGCTCGCACGTTGTGCGTCTCACGCATTCCGACTCAAATTGTGTGTGTGTGAGTCTCACGCATTGTGCGAGTCTCACGCACTGTGACTCACATTGTGTGTGCGCGTCTCACGCATTGTGACTCACATTGTGTGCGAGTCGAGCATTCTATGAGACTCACATTGTGTACGAATCTGACGCATTGTGTGCGAGTCTCACGTATCATGTGCTTGCGTGCACGCGTCTCGTCACGCATTCTGTGTGCGCCTTTCACGCCAATTGCATTTCGGGGTAAGTTTGGTTTGTGTGAGGGTGGTGGGGGGGGATTTGGGTGCCAAGAGCAAACCCACGACGTGTACCAAGGGATGGCACTCCAAGGTTGACAAGAGTGTGTCACTGGTCAGGGCCCACCTACTCTACTGTCATCACCTGACCACCACAACTCACATCTGTGTGAGCCACCACGTCTGGGCATGACGGACACACTACCACCGTTCAGAAGTGGACTTCAAACTGCACGTGGACGCATAACATGGCACCCCACCTTGGTCTCACGCCACCACTAACCACGCTCACAAACTTGCGCAATGTCCATTTGCAAAATCTTGAGGGAGCAGTGGTAAGGTGTTGTTTTTAGTGCCCCGAGAACGATTGTTTAAGGGCGCTTTATACATTTAAATTGTTGTTTTTCATAAAGAATGTATTGTAATTTGTCCGATTATTATGTTTATCTTTTGCAGGCTGAGCACTTGTTTGGCGGTAGAGTGGAGACTGACAATTCCATTAAATAATACCAGTTAGTGATGCAGTACTGTATTTGGTAACAAAGTATAATCGGGTATTATGCTATGAAAACATTACATTACCCACTAGTAATAGCACCTCATTGTACTGTTACGTTATTAAATGGCATGTAAAACTTGTTGCGGCTACAAATATATTAATGCTCGTTCCTAATTTAGAAGACTGAATCGTGAAGTGGTGACGAGTAAAATTACTAAAACTATATATGTAAATACCAACTAAAAATTACAGCCGATATCAATAACGGCAATCGGTACAAATCGGGAGTAGACTGCAGCAATGGCCGGTGACAGAAGCGGCGAGGCGTTTTACTTGCGCAGCGCCAGCGCGCTGCCCAGCGTGACCCACCGGCTGAGCGCCATGCGGCACACCGGCTCCTTCTGCGACGCCGTTGTGGAGGTGCAGAGCCGCCGCTACCTGGCGCACAAGGCCGTGCTGAGCAGCAACAGCCCTTACTTTGCCAGCCTCTTCTGCCGAGCCCCTTGCAGCAACCTGGGCCCCTTCGCCCTCGACTTCCTGAGCGTTGCAACGTTCGAGCTGGTGCTGGACTTCGTGTACAAGGGGGCGGCGCGGGCGCGGGCGCACGAGCTGCGGCCTCTGCACGACGCTGCCAGGACGCTGGGCATCGCGCCGCTGGAGGAGCTGTGTCGGCCGCTGCTTACGGACGAGAGAACGACCCCGATTGGCAACGCGTCGTCGTCTGCCGCCTTCGACTACGACGGGAGGCCTTGCGGCGGCGGCGGAGTCGAGGCCAACCTGCGATCCTCCCCCGAGCTGGTGTCCGAGGGGCTGGCTCCAGATTTATTTGGCCGCGGGTTCCTGGAGGATGGCACGGGGGCACTGTGGAGGAACCGCTTTGCCGAAATGGAAGGTGGCAGCGTGGCGGGCGTCCCCGGCGGCGGTCACAAGCCGGACGACGGGCTGGACGCAAGCAGCGTGGACGACGAGTCTGGGATTCACTCTGCCTCCAGGGGGATGGAGGACAAGCGCTGCTCTGAGAGCGATAGTGGCCGAGCAGAAAACACTGGCACGGAGCAACTGTTCCTTTGTCAGGTGAAGACTGAACCGAATGAGGAGCCGCCCTGCAAGGTGGCCAGGACCGAAAGCACCAGAGCCAATGCCAGTCAGGTTTCCGGCCTCGCTGTGGCTGATGGGCGGACTCAGGAGACTGGAGGCTTCAGGGTGACGGACATTGCCGCGCTCGACGGTTGCTCTCGTGAAGACCTAGATGGGTGCGCGGAGCCCGGCGCGAGCGATTTGCTCGCGGGGCAGAGCGCGGCGGGAGCACCGCAGCACGAGATTGGTGTGGCGCAAATCGCAGCCGAACACGTGCAGTGCCAGGTGTGCGGCGACACCATGGATGAGAACATCTCATCGCTAAGGGAGCACGCGGCCATCCACGTGGACCGCGAGACGCTCAAGTGCCGCGTGTGCGGACGTGGCTTCACCACCTTCAACAACGCGGTGCAGCACGTGTATAAGCACTGCGGAGTCACCGTGCTCGCCTGCCACGACTGCGGCAAGACCTTCCTCTCGCTCACGCGCCTCACCCTACACTACCTCAACCATTGCCGCAAGAAGCGACCGCCTCCGCCGCTGCCCAGCGTGCCATTCGTGCGGCCCCTCGAGTACCGGCCGCCCGACGACTCCGGCGAACACCACGCGTCGAGCTACGCCCCGTGTCAGATCTGCGGGCTGCCCGTGCACCAGAAGATGGCGTACCTGCGCAGTCACGCTCGTTCCCACGTGGACCTGGAGCACCTCCTGTGCATGGTGTGCGGCCTGAAGCTCACCTGCTCGAGCAACCTCATCAAGCACGCGCTGCTGCACGTGGGCGTCTTCCTGTTCGCGTGCCCCATTTGCGAGAAGCGCTTCGCCATGCAGTGCCTGCTGCAGCAGCACCAGAAGAGGGGGACCTGCCTCCCAGCTCTGTGGAAATCGAGTGCCAGGGGGGACGGTCCCCACGGCATGGACGAGGCCAATAGAGTGGCTCGCTCCAGCTCCATGCCCCCTCTTGAGTAGACTTTTTTTTTATTTAACCTCATACAGTATTACTGTGTGATATTTCGCAGTTGCACTGGCAGCTCTCCTGTGACAGTGGGTAACCAATTCTGGCGTCACAAATGTAGTTAAGTTTACCAGGAGGAAGTATGGTGTGTGGAGGGTGCTGATTGTTGGAAGGTGAGGGCACCAACCTAGGCTCTTAGATTTAGGGGTTTTAGCTCACCTTTAATTACTAGCCTTTTGCCTGTCCAAGGATGGGTGTATTGCAGTAAATCTGAAGCTTGCAAGCGAAAAGCAGACCACGACGTGATATTGCATTAATGCACGTGCAGTGACACAGACCTATTTCATTTTAAGGTTATAATCCCTTGTTGATCATGACGTCCTTTTTATGTTGATGTCTCAACAGCGTTACGGAGATCGCGTGATGACGTCAGGGTTCTGCCTTTGTAGTGAGGGTTGTAAGTTGACGCCGAGGAGGGGAGAGGAGCCTCGGCCCGCCATGTGGAGTGACGTCAGCCGCTAGTTATTATGAATAGGGGGGGCGGAGGTCCATTTGGAGGACGTCACCTTAATGATTATTATGTAACACGATTTTCGTTCCTGGGTAGTAAGTGTTAATTTCTAATTGTTTATGCCTCAAAAAAAGTATAGAAAATGGCTATTATTCCCCACAAACTTGGCTTTTGTGACCTGTCAACAATCTGCTGTTCTCTACACTCGGATTCTCGAACTCTCTGTAGAGAAGTCCATTGCGAATGATCATCGTAGATGTAATGTCCTTTCCAGATAAGCAGGTTTTAACCTGTCGTGCATGTTCCCACCAAAATGTTGGGCTGATGTCCAGTTTCTGAAGACCTCAGCCATCACTTCTGGACCCATGCCACGAGGCACCTTCAAAGGCTTTCTTGCTGCCCTTCTCCCCCCTAACTTGTGCACGTGTAATGGCGGCCTGCGTGATTTCTGTCTCTACCTTACCACCCTGAAGCCAGTGAGATGAATCTGGATCCTCGGGCTGTCGCACACCCTTCATATGGCCCACTACAACTTCAAATAGAGAGTGTTCCATGCAGATAACCCGTTCTCTACCACGTAGATATGGCGAGACGATTTCCACCTCTGCTATGGGACATCATCTTGCCGTTCCATCAAAAGACATGCTATGTCCCCCTGTAAAGTCATCTGTTAATAGGTGCCTGTCAATCACTACACCACTACACCCTGTCTCAACAGTCACGCTGTCATCCTCGCCCAATCTGAATATAACCTGGTTGTGTTGGATACCTTTTATCCTCCCACATCCCAAGGACTGGTAAGTCTGACCCATCCTCCAGTGTTGCATACTGGCCCTTTTCTGTCTAATAGCTGTCCCACCAATCCTGTGTGTAATCTGGATTTTTTTCCAGCAGGTCTGATCTTCCATTTCTGATCACACATGCAAGATGTCTCACCATGAATTGGCCAAAACTTTCACCCTTCTCTGGCCTAACTTTGCGGAAATTTAGTTCTGAAGTCGTCCTCAGTGAAAGCATACCTCTAACAAGGCTGCTTTAAAATGTTTGTAATCAGAGGCCTCTTCCCTACCGAGTTGGTGATACACCATGAGAGCTTTACCACTTAGCAAGGCACTCAAATTAATTGCCAAATCAGATACAGGCAAACCATAGCACTGCATACCTTTCAAACCTATTTTTTTTGTTAATCTGATCCTTTGTCTCATCGAACTTTGGGAGCTTTGGTACAGTGCTTTTCCCAGGAGCTGGTCCCATTGAAATGGTTGCACCCAGACTCAGTTTCTTGAGTTCTAACTCAATCTGTTCTATTTTCGCCTTCAACAGCTTCCCTCTTTAAGCAATCACCCCTTTCTAAGGCTTTAAATTCCCGTGCCATTTCCTCTCCCCCTTTTCCCTTTAGAGCTTTTCGAGCTCTATCATCTGCTTTGTTTATCCTTAACATTCTCCCTTTCTAAAGAAATCATCACGGCTTCCTTTTCCATCTCTCACCATCTTTTTGCAACTCTTTCATCCCGGAGAAACATCTCCAGGTCTTGCCCCCCTTGCAAACCTGCTGCCATTGCTGTCTCCACCACCTCTCTAGTATCCATTATGCAAGAGGTTTCTTGTGGTCTCACAGCCCAATACCAACAAATCACCAAACGCAATTCCACTGGTGGACTATGGACAGGCCGACACCTCGGCCGGATCAGAGTAGTCCAGCAATACCCTAATTGCTATGCTCGGAGATACACGAGGCCAAGGCAAGCTCAGTCCACATTGAACCCACAATTGTCCTGATCCCGAACGAGCCCCCATTAATGTGACGACGGGTAACCGATTCTGGCGTCACAAAATTTAATTAAGTCCACCAGGAGGAAGTATGGTGTGGGGAGGTTGGTGATTGTTGGGAGGCGAGGGCACAACCCAAGGCTGACTCAGATTGAAAGGTTTGAGCTCACCTTTAATTATGAGAGGTGTGGTTCTGGCGATTTAGCCACACCCCCAGCGATGACAAGCCCCGCCTTATTGCTACAATATCCGTGACCTTCAGCACCACTGTACTTAAAGTTCATTAATACGAGTGGTTGTCTTACACCATGCTTCTCGCAGCTATATTACATGCACCCAGCCCACACACACATTCTGGAGCCACAGCAAAGTCTGCCACACAGCCTCAAGTCGACGCCGAGTTGAAGGAGGTTGAGAGCCAGGGTTTGTTATCTCCCCGCTTGCTGCTCCGGGTCCTCCCAACACCCCCTGCTTTGCCCGCTGTGCAGTCGCAGTGCTGCTACCTCTGCACCCTGTCCCACCGCGGGACCGCTGCAAACCACACGAAACAGGTGGAGGGGGAAAGCCGCATGTGAAGTCTCGGTGTGCAAGTTTGCACTACATGTTTTAGGCAAAGTGTGCCCCCAGTGAATGCGTACATTCCATACAGCTGGGAGTTAGACCTATCCCTGCTCACTTCCGTCTCGCTGGTACTGCTGCTGTGGTGCTGCTACTGTTCTTCTTCTTACAAAAAGACTGGAGGGCCGTAGAGTTGCTGCTTTCTGCCTCCTCGCCCGACTGAGCTGCCTTTTATAGGGAGTCCCCAACCCGCCCAGACTGGTTTTCCCTTTATAACTGGTCTCAGCTGGTAGGCTTGCCACACAAAACCCCTCACTCTCAACTCACAGTGATTCCTCTACACCACCTGTACTGCCAACTTATAAAACACATCCACGACGGCGTGGGACTTAGTAGTTGCGCAGCATATCTCTCCCAACGCATGTTTCAGCTTGGACGGTGTGTTGTCCATCGTGGTGTCGGACGTCACGCCGACCAACGTGGCGTACAACCCAAAAACACATATGCGATCTTGTACAGACGTGCCCGTTTTTTTACTCTGTAACGCGACTTCTTGGTGTTACCATTTTAGACTCGCCAATGGTAGATACCTCACTCTTTCCATTGTTAGGTCACAGCGATTTCGTCGGGACTTGATTGGGACATGATGCGACGTTTACAGTCTCGGCGTTTTACACAAACTTTGCGATTGCTAACAGCAGCGCTGGGCAATGTTTTTATTTTAGCTTGCCCGCTCAGGGGCAACGAACGGTGTGTGATGCAACGTTCGCCACCAAAACACTGCCTCAGCCATTACAGAGACCTCGGCGTGGTTCAAGTCAGGCGCTGGGCCAGGACCACAAGCAGTGCGGTTGTGTCGACGAGCAGTCTTGTCCCCTCCCACCAGGCAGATATCAGCTATACTCTTTGGTTCTTTGGGTGAAGTCACGTAGGTAGAAAAATAATAGATCACGACGTTTCAATCGCAACACAAGCAATCGTCATCAGGTGTCGAAACTGTAGTTGTCTCACCTGATGACGATTGCTTGTGTTGCGATCGAAACGTCGTGATATATTATTGTTCTACCTACGTGACTTTACCGAAAGAACCAAAGAGTATGGATTCCTGCAGTCACGAAAGCTTCAAATCAAGATATAAGCTAGTCACTTGATTTGTATTATCACGTCTAACATTACTTAAATGAACATGAACTCGATGAGTGTAAGATACATATAATGATTATCTTTTCAGGAGCTTAATTGATTTTAAAATAATATATCTATACATCAGGCATTTGAGAATTTAGTTGTAGATATAATGGGAGTTCAAATGTCAGAAGTATTTTATTGTATTTAACGGCTCTACGAGTTCTCTGGCCTGTTTGAGTGTATTTCCATATACTTCTAAAATAACACTGAAAGTATTGTACAGAATAATTGAAATACGATATCTACATAAATGGTAGCAACGGCAGAAGAGTACGTACGGCAAGCTACATAATCTGCGAAGTCCCTGTGACTCGCGGATTACCTCTTGCTCACAACTCTCTCCGGAGTCCGCGGAGTATCGAATCTCTTCCGCGAGCAGATCATTACCCTCCCGTAATAGAGGCACAACACGTTGCAGGCATCCTCGGAATAATTGTAATGTATTATCTCATTATTCTATTGTAATTTTAATATTTAAAAAAACTCTATTTTTTTACTGCATAATACGCCCCTGAGTTATTCTCAAGGTGCGCTCTGAAGTGCAGAGAGAAGCGCATCTGCAGATAAGCAAAGGCGGCAGCAGCGCTCTACGTGGTCAAAAGGTTCCCGCAGAGAGGGGGGAAAGTGAAGCTGCACGGTGAAGGCGGCGGTGCTGCAGGCAGGGAAGGTCGGGGATGGGCAATGTTTATTTTGCTAATTTTGACAAATGGTCATGCACCGGCACAGGCTAGCTGCGCTGACGTGATCTGTGCAGTAGTCATGGGTTTTATGGGCTTTCTTTTTTATACTTGATGTACAAAACTAATGGACAAAAAAAATCTTTTAACATAGACCCGTGTAGTACATTTGCTCCATTTGAGTATGGAAAAAAATCATAAAGTCTGCACCTCCGATAAGCACGGCTGGCTAACGTACAGTGCGAAAGAAGTTTACTATACATACACACATACGTAACATCCGCTAAATTATTGTGGTTTAATGGAGCGGCGAGTGATGTGTGTGCCACGCTTTCCCTGTAATCCGCGGTAGACCGTGGCGGCGCAAATCGTTGTTATCCTTCACCAGCGCCTCCTGCAGAGCCCCCCTGCAGCAACCTGGGCCCATTGGGAGCTCTGCGGAATAAAAATGGGTCAATGTGTATCCAGGAAAGTGCGTGGAATTTGGGAAGCGATTGAAGTTAATCATTTTGGAATTGAGCCTAGGAAACGTTAAAGAAGTGCTTATGCATGTCACATTTCAATAAAAAAAACTTTTCTTAGATAGCGAAAGCTCATGTAAGTGCTGAACAGGATTGGAGTAGACTTGACAGACGGTTGACATCATATGCGACAGACAGCTGTGATCGGAGAAGCTAATTATTGGAAGAGGAGTCGGACAAGGCTTGCTTATCCTCGCCTCTTCAATTCAACGAATACTCAGAAGTGAT